GACCGGAGATACCGTCGACTGCGATGTCAGGGAAGTCGGACGATCGGGTTCGGAGTTCGCGGTCGAGCCATTATCAAATCTCGCAAAGGGCTGGGCTCGGGATTCCCCGGTCGGGAAACTCCGATCCAGAGATCGTTTGGGACTCCAGCTCGGGGACTCGCGATGTGGTTCGAGATGCTCATCATCCTGTGAAAGAGCATTCCGGAGTCCAGAGCTACGGGACTCGAATTTTTGCGGTGGACGGTTCCTCACATCTCCCATCGACAGTGGCTCTTCCAGTGGAACTTGGTTACCCGAGTCCACAGAGACCTTTGGGTTGAAAGAGATCGAAGGTCGACGAGTGTGCAGATAGCTGTCGTAGTTGTCGAGAGGGGACCCCTGCAGACCCTCGGGCTTGTGCGGGAAGTTGTCGGCATCGTCTGGGTGATGATGCTCATCGTGGCGAGGGACGGAGATGGGAGGGGTCGCTGAGTGTAGATCACTTATCAAACTGCGGTCTTCATCAGTATCGTGGCGACGCGCGTAATCATGAGATTGATTGGTGTGATCGCTCTCGATACCATCGCCCACTGTTGTCCTTCTAGTGTTTTCATTTGCCCATTTGGGCTTGTTCCGCTCATGAAAGTTCGTTTCAATCCTTAAACCAGCCAAACCACTTGCCAATCCGGCCCTCTCGCTATGTTCCATGCCCTAACGAGAAGTACAGGGCGGAAATTGTCGTATTCTCAGCCCGTGATAGGCATGCAGTAGGGTTATATAACCCCCTGCTTGGCTTCCAAGGTTTTTTGTTCGATATGCTTCCGATAGTTGTCGTTGAAGATGTTATTGTGGGGTGATAGCGTCAAAAGTGGAGACAGAACGTTTGAAATAGTGAAGTAAAGTAAGTCGTAATAGAAGGGTTTGAACTTGAATCTGTTTAAAAAAAATCGTGATGAAACACGGTGGGTACAAAGATAGATAGTCAGAGATGAATAGAAGGTGAGGTATTGGTCAAGTAGTCTGGTACTGGGAGGGGAAGCAAAACCGGGGAAACTCGGGTGATGACGAGAATACTTTTAAATCACATGACTAAAAGGCAGCCCTGGCCCTAATTTCCGCATCAAGTTATACAGAAAAGCATAGTGGCCATATTGGAGAATTATGTAATTATTCCATATGTATCACTTTGATTGTTTCTCCACAGTGTTTTGTACTCCTTACGGAGTATAGAGTGCTGAAAGAGATATTATCTACTTGAACAGCCTGGAAATAAAAGAAATCCTAATATATTTATATATTTATAATAGCATAGTAGACATACAAAAGCCAATATGACCATGGAAGCTCTATGTTGTAAACAGTCGGCCATTATTACCCGCATATACGTTCAGGGGTCAGGCCATGGGTTTAACCGCGCGCAAGGGGCGCTTGTTTGGGAATACCTCCTTTTGGCTTTTGGAGATGTGAAAGGAGTTACTATTCAGACTCAACGTCGCCTTGGCAGACATCTCTTTGTTCCTTTCTTGTTCTCCTTCTGTTTTTCGCCTTGTCGCTCTGGCAGTAATTTCTTTCTCCTTGTGTCGACCTCCGTGCTGGACCGAAGTTCACACCAGCCCCCACCATTCTCATTCAAGGCATTGTCTCTCATTCAGATCGATTCACCAAGTGCTCGCGACCCCCGGTCGGCTTTTTCTTTATTGTCCAGCATTCGTGTACTACCTGGATACAAGAAATTCGGAGGCTTGCGCATTGCTTTTGTCCGCGCTTGTCTTCTAACATTCATATTCCTGGATCGCTAGTCACTCCTTGCGCTCACGACTTGTTTCAATCCCATTGCTCCTGATACCACACTCATTTACACTGCAACATGACTAGGCCTCAGATGATCCGAGCTGGTAGGTCAAACTTTTCTATTGTGCGAGGCCAATTGGCTCGAAGTTGCCGGTGTTGACCGCCACATCTAGATACCTTGGACCTTCAAGATCACGATACCCCTTCCGCTAAAGATCACACCAAACAATCCGAACATCCAGATCCTCTTGAGAGCGGCCGGCCTGCTCCCCATCAGGAACTTTCTATTCGCCATGCCGAACAAGATTCACGAGCGGAGATAAAGGGCGGACCAGACAAAAATCACGAATATCGCGGTGATAAGGAGGTGTATCGAGAACTAGATGATGAGGAAGACGATGAGGATGACAATCAATACGACCATGAAGATGGTGACCTAGCAGACGGCGAAAGCGATGATATGATGGACGATGATATGATGGATAAAATCTCCAGTTCGCCCTCTATCGATGATGGTACGGACTCTCGGGGATTATAGGCATGAGTCGGGCGTTAGCTGATGTTATACAGAGGATATCGATTTTGAGTTTGTATATGCGCTTCATAACTTCGTCGCAACGGTCGATGGGCAAGCAAATGCTGCAAAGGGTGATACTATGGTTCTTCTCGATGACAGTAACAGCTACTGGTGGCTTGTGCGCGTGGTGAAGGATGGCAGCATTGGTTACCTCCCTGCAGAACACATCGAAACACCAACAGAAAGGCTTGCCAGATTGAATAAACACAGAAACGTGGATCTGTCTGCGACTATGTTGGGCGACAATAACGAAAAGTCGAAGAATCCTCTGAAAAAGGCCATGCGCCGTCGGAATGCGAAGACCGTCAACTTTGGTGCCCCGACGTACATCGACGCCTCCGACGTGGATTACTCAACGGACGATGATTCCGAACACGGCGACTTCTTCAACGATGATGAGACTCTGGACGGAGAAGAGGAAGATGTGCAAGAGAAAGCTGAGGATATTGTCGTGGAACCTCTTAGGCCCAAAGCCCAGAAAGAACCCCCCACAGAGAATGCCGATGCCAACGGTGCAGAGAAACAAGATTTGCAGCGTTCAAGCTCCGATCGACGCCCTTCTAGTGAAGAGTTCTTTGAGGCCGAAGGTATACACACTCAACTAAACTCTCTCAGATCGTATTTGGAACTCACCTTCACAAAGCAGAACCCACCGTCAGTAGATCCAGAAATGGCACTGTACGGAATACCGATTCCTTCTTCAAAGATGACACGGCCGAGCCCAAGAAGATTTCTCTCACGCCAAATCTCCTGCGCGATATTCGCGATGAAAACAGCACAAGCACCTTGGCTGAGTGGAAAGAGGTATGTTTCCCATCGTGGGTTTATCCGAAGATCAGTTCACTAATGTTTTGGTGAAGCCTCGTGGGAGCCTTGAATCCATCGAAAAGGGCTCTAACTCACAGGATAGAATCAAAGAGAAAGAGGAGAAGAAGCGAAAAGACAAGAAACCTGGGATGCTCAGCGGGTTGTTCAAGCGCAAGAAGAGCAAAGATGACATTGACGATCCAGAAAGATCTCCTGGAGACTCGTCCCGCACATCACCCCAACCCAAGACTTCGATGGATTCTATGTCATCAAAGTCTGTGTCCCCCGAACAACAGCGGCCCTCCAAGCCCCAGAAAAGCTCGGTCAACAAGCTACACAAACAACCCCCAGGAATCATGAAGGTCGACCCAGTCCTTGATCCTACAATGGCTGAGTTCGCTAGGGGCAACGAGGCCATTAACCAGAGTCAGGCCAACAAAAGCATTCGACAGGTGTCACTGCAAGAAGATAGAGAAAGCAGCTACGAAGACTGTGAAATTGTGTTGCAATCGCCTATTAGCCAATCGAGTCCTTCTAAGGACCCCTTTGCTACTCCGCTTGAGTCAATGGATTCCCTGGAGTCGCCTGTTGATCGACCATCCAGTGAAGCTCAATGGAGAGGACCCAATGATCCAAGTCGCACGACGACTGGACCCACGTCCGTTACATCTCCACCCCATAAATTTGTCCCTACGCTGGTGGCTGGAGATGAGTCGGAGTCGCCTGTCAATATTTCTCCTGTGGAGGCTTATTCCCCGATGAGCGCACGCGGCTCAACGAATAATGTCTCTCCTCGAGAAGTACGCTCTCTATCGCCACCGTCGCCCCCATTATCACCCGGACAGGACGTTAATTACCTCAAGGGTAGCACGGCTGCTCCCGCCTCAGTCGACACCCTTTCTGTGGACACCCCGACGTGGAGCGACTCCAGTCTACGAACATACATGGACGAAGAAAACGACATTCGCGACTTGTTTATTATTGTCCACGACAAATCGAATGTACCCCCCGCTGGCCCTGACCACCCCATCACCGGTCGTCTCTTCAAAGAGGAAAGCAAGAGACTTAAGGAGATGAACAATCAGCTTGATGACATGCTAGTGAAATGGATGTCACAGCGGACTAACGGCTCAACGTCGGCTCGTGGCATTTAGAGTCCAGTGTAACCAACCTTGGAAGCGTATATGGATCTTTTGAAACCAAACCCATGTATTGATAGGTGGACCGCCTTGCATGGCAATGAAGGCCAGGATGTTTTTGAATGTGCTGGGCGCATCACTTTTGGCTGACTATTATTCTTTCCTTTCACCTATACTTTTTTTTCCCCTTTCCGGATTGTGTCTTGATGCCACTGCTTGGCGCAAATTCTTGTTCTGCATTTTTCCATCGCCCTAGGGAGCGATGTGACCCCGAACGTCTAACGGCCAGCTCTATTTACACCATGCTTTCCATCTTTTTCTTCGATTTTCACCGGAATACCCCGACTCATCCGTGTTCAGTTCTATTTCCTTCACATCTTGTCATTCCAGGTCAAACTGATCGTATCTCAATACAATATCAGTTGCCGAACATATTTTCCTAGAAAGAAATAAAGAAATATCGGAAGGCACACCCCTTCATTGTATGCAGAGAAACAAGTGAAGCAAGTGATCAGTATCTGATTGGAAAGTGCATTCCAAAGGGAAGATCGAGGGTCGTGTGGGCATGTGGGCAGGTCAGCCGCACTATGTAATTATAGGACCCCCACCCCCAACAAGTCATCTGTCATACCTTAGCTACATATAGCTACATAAAACCCACTTCGTGTTCCTGTTCTTGATGCAGGTTTCCTTTGACGTATTCCATCATGGCGGATCCATACCCTTACAACTCGCACTCAACGCCTACGCCGAGCGGGGTTGGCTACTATCCCCCAGAGGATCAGCCGCAGTACCCGGTATATGGCCAACAGCAGCCATACGGGAACCAACAGCCTTACCATAACCCCGGATTAGAGCCTTACCAGCCCAGTCCAAATGAAACCCAACTCTATGCTCCACAACAAAGTTCATACCACCTCGCGCCCGAGCCATACGGATCCTCCATCGAGAGAAGTTATACGCCCACAGGGCAACCAGACTATCTTGGGCCGGTGACTCCGGTAGGATACCAACATGCGCAAGACAGAATCCCCGGGAACGCAGGATACTAGTGAGTGGGCGGTACATACCCAACTGTGAGAACCAACACTTACACTGAGCTCCTAGCAACGACCATCCAGCCGACCAACCACGGTACGCACCCTCCGCGAGTCCCCACCCTCCCGCTGTCTATGTATCCGAGCCAGAAGATGCACAGCGCAGTGGTGAACAGCGCTCCGATACAGAGACCGACACTGACCGGGGTATGGACCGTGGGCTCGGGGGTTCACTCGCTGGCGGCGTCGCGGGATATTACCTCGGTCATAAGAAGGAACACGGTTTGCTGGGTGCGATTGGTGGTGCTCTGCTCGGGAACTTCATCGAGGACAAAGTGAAGGATCACAAGAAGCATGACGATGATAGTGAACATGAGCATGAGCATCACCGTCACCGCCACCATCACCATCACCGTCACCACCATGGCCATCGGAGCCATTCGAGACATAGTAGTCATAGTGGTCACAGCGGGCACTCTCATAGTTCTCATCATACTAGCCATTCGAGACACCGCTATGAGGATGAATACTGAGTGGATCTTGACTTCGAACAGTGTTATTTTGCCTAGGGTTTCTTTCGTTATCCTATCTATTCCTTTTATCGTGCTGCCATTCTAGCCTTACGTCATGGAATATGGGTTACAGGTGTGCTTTCCTTTGCTCAAGACTTGGTCTCGGTTTACAGACATCACTTTATCTTGCTGCATTTCTTTTTCTTCATTTGTTTTTTGTCTCGAGAAATCCCTGATTGATGAGCACCTTGTGTACTCTCTCACGAAGACTCCGTTCTGACATTTACGACATGAATTCATACCCTCCTGGTATGTAGTTAATGATATTTATCGAATTATTAAGCATCCTTATCTCTCTTGGTTGCGATATTTATATCGAGGGCTGGTCTAAGTCGAGTATTCTCACTGACGCTCCTTAAATAGCTATGTTATACCTATGCTGTAGGTAGTGAATTCTCGTGTATGAGGTCGAGATGCCTCCACTATAAATGCGGGGACCGTATATGTACTAGCGCGTTTTGGGCCTAGAGGAGGAAACGCGGTTGTACTTCGTATTCTTGAAATATTTATCTTCACTCAAACAACTCATACGACATGGCCGCAAATACAGATGAAATGGACCCAACAAGGGATAAAATTGCACAGCAACTTTCTCCCACTCCCTTTGCATGCTCTTCGCTCACGCGCCTGTCTGGAGGCACAGCCAACTTTGTCTACCGAGGCACACTTTCCTCAACTGGCCAATCTGTCGTCATCAAGCATACCAAAGATCACTCGGCCTCTAACCCGGATTTCAAAATCGATGTCACAAGATGCGTTAGTTGCTGTCCATTGAATGGCCCTGCTTTGAACTATACTGATCTTAAATTAGTATTTCGAGGAAGCCATCCTTCAAGCTCTCGATGGCCTGGCAGTGTATACAAATGGCAAAATAACCGTCAAAACACCGCGTTTATTGGACTTCAACCGAGAAACAAATACTCAGGTTTTCGAAGATCTTCCAAATTCAATCGACCTAAAGAGCTTCCTACTCTCAAAGGTTTCCCATGACTTGTCCGAATCGTCGGGGCGAGCCTTGGGCGGCGCCCTTGGGTCCTGGCTGAGATCGTTTCACCATTGGACGGCTGAGGAACAGCAAATAGAATCTACAAAAATCCTTGGTGGGAATAAAATCATGAAAGATTTGAAATTCTGGGTGAACTACACTATGCTGCTGGACACCGTTAATAATTTCCCCGATCTTCTAGAGGGAAACCGGGACATTTTCGAGAAGATTCGTGACCTCGCTGCAGCAGAGCTTGAGCAACAGAGCCACGATAATGGATATGGAGTTATTCACGGCGACTTTTGGACTGGAAAGTATGCTGTCTTGGGTCTAGACTCCACGAACCGAGCCAGGTTACTGACGCGATTTCTAGTATTCTTCTTCCAAATGTTCCTCTCACTGATCAATCCCCGACGACTATGTTCATTGTCGATTGGGAAATGTCGCAGATTGGAAGCCGCGCATTAGACTTGGGTCAAATGATTGCTGAGCTGTACGAAACAAAGCTGTTCAAAAATGTGGACGGTGGAGTGTGGATTATTCAAGGGTTCTTGGAGGGATATGGGGCCCTTGAAGATGAAATAGCATTCCGAACTGCGATCCACGTTGGTGTGCATCTGGTTTGCTGGGGAAGTAGAGTCCCTGGATGGGGCACGCAAAAGCAAATTGAGGAGGTGGTGAAGCTGGGAAGAGATTTGATCGTCCACGGCTGGAGAAAGAATAAGGCCTGGTTCGTGGAAGGCACTCTTAGTTGCCTGTTCAAGGGTTGATTCTTTCCCAGGTTATCCATAGATTGTCGGATTTCTTAGTCTTCCAACTACTCATTATCAATCTCACATTGCACCGTTTCGACGTGCACCACGTAGTCCTTTCTCATAACAGTTGTCCATGGATATTAGCATATTACGTACACAATGCCAGAAGAGGACCCGGAGCCATATACCTGATTCCTTGGCGATCAGACGTTGCTCGTGTTCGGCATCAATAACGTCACCTCAGAAAACGCCGTGTGGTTCGATGGGTACTCTCTGAAATTGCTTCGCTACTTCCATGAAATACATAAGTAGCTTCAGGATTAATACTGGAAAGGAGGTGCCCAGGTGGAATGAAAGAATTGACACTAATTTTCCAAGTTTTCCATTGTTTTTGGTATTTTTGGGCTTGTTTACGGTAATTGATAATACATCCAACTTTCCCCGCCAAATATTCCCACTTATGCTCCACGGACCGCAACGCTTTTCGCTCTTCAACACCCAAGTAGGGAGTTGATGCAGCCTGTGGAGCGCAACTATCTCTTCTTTTCCATAACATCGACAAAGACATGTCCCAGGGGACCGGTCTCAGAACTCCATCCTCCATGCTGGATGGTGTACTTGTCACTCTTGTCCAACACCTCAACCAAGTTGGTGTATTCCCCACCACGATTCTCCCAGTGGAGCTCGCAAATCTTGTCATTGTCATGAAATAAGTCCAGACGGCCTTCGCTACCGCGACGGCTGCTAGCGCCGATCTCACCAACGCCATCGGGGGAGATCTTGATCTCGTCGATCTCCTCTTCAGTGAGCGACTTGCGGCGGTCGTTGGGGTCGGCGAACTCGCCGCTGCCGGGTGTTAGTAGAAGCATTGTAAATTCCTGGGATTATAAATACCCTTCAATGACAGTGTTCTGCACTAGGATCTCGCCATCTTTGATGTGGTCCCGAATGTGGAATGAGACCCATTGAGAATTGTACTTGTCCATATTGTCCATATTGGAAATCTATGAAGTAGTTGTGATAATTGATGAATGTAGAAGTGAGACTCTTGAACTTCAGAAATGCCAACTCTTTTATGTGTGTAGATGTAGGTATATATATATATATATATACTACCCCAGAATGCGGGGAATGTGGTGATGTAATTCATTTGACACACGTCGACAGGTTGTCCACGAATGGTACGACCGCTGATCCCATTGTCCAATAGCCTACCCGAACCAAAGAACCCTTCCTTGTCTTTGCGGGGGTTACGTGCCTATCAATCCCCGTCTTATTGCATCACTTTGAGACCGCGTGATACGTAGTGTGGAGTGGCATGATAATTGGGCAATGGACCGCATGACAATGAACCTACTTGACTGAGAGGGGTCGTACCACCTGGTCATTCAATAGCTCCCCAGACAATAAGTACGTCAAGATAACAAGACTGTAACATAATAAGAGAGATGGGACCACAGGCTTTGACAAGTGTACAAAATCAACTGAAATGAAACACGTTACTTTGAGGACATTAATTTGAGGTAGATCACATATAAAGCGATTAATACGTGCCACGAAGACCGCCTTTCTCCATTTCCCAAAATAGACAAAGAAAGCACTCACAGAAGAATGGCCGCCAGTAACTTCAAACCCTCCAATACAGCAAAATTGTCTTAACATCACTTCGTTATGTATACTTGTGCTTCGAGTGTGTTCATTATCGCGTTGTGATACTACAAGTATACCAAAACGCCTGAGCTGACACTTTCTGCCCGTCTTACTCATGGCTGGCGGTTTTGGCAATAGGACTATAAGATAGTCCATCTTTAGCATTGAAGCTCAATGGACGTGATATTTGAGTGAAAGTGCCTAGCTTTGATATCGAGCCGGTCGTTCAAGCATCCTGGAGTTATATTATCAATTCCCGCACCAATCGAGAATATCAATGTCTGATATTTAGGGACAATATGTAGTTATATAGTCACTTCCCCGGTCAGTTGTCAGTTTATAACCACGTCCGTCCATCTTGGTGAAAGTCCTAATGGATCTAGTATTGGTGCCACTAATTTGTGACATTCTTCGTCTACGTATTGGAACATATTGTTATTATATCGCTCTACAGGAGCACTATATTTCCAACATTAATCTATGAGGTGAAAGGCCTCATCCAGTGATGGGCACACCATCGCTCTGTTAATACTGAACCGTTTTCCAGGTCAAAACTGGTTTGTTCTACCCAGCAGATGCTAACGCATGTATAGGTTTCTATGTCTATGCATGTTCTGAAATTAGTCCGGTGAATCACTGGACTAGTAAATTGATGGATGCCAAGTATAAATCCGGGGTAGATCAGGCAGGGGATAGCGGGAACGGTGAGGCTCTTCTACAGTTACCGATGAGTATACTACCAATTTCCTTTAGATAATAAAACTATTAATGGACGTTATTTCAGCGAAAAAAAAACGTCATGAGGCTGATAGGGCCATTTGGTAAAATAATATGGGGGCCAAGGGGGCCAGGGGCAGTGTTGATTGCGATAGGAACACAGCTATGCTCCAAGTTATAATCCCCTCTCCCACACTCATTCATCTTTCAACCAAATCCACTGTTTATTCCCTTTATTCTTAATCTTTTAAATATGCCTATCCATCTTCCTACGAAATTTGACGACGAATATTGGACAACATCAAAATGGCTGCGAGTGGCATGTATAGCCGCCAGCTCCCCTTCACCCCTCTACTTGGTGATCGTGGGAGCATCGTGGGGGTTTTTTATGACTGTGGTAATGACCTCTTTTCGAACTAGCGAGAATTTTTGAGCAGCTAATATTATCTAGAATTTCATTCCATTGGTTTGGGCTTCAATTCATCTTGTCCTGCTCCGCAGAGAAATCATTTTTCATCCACTGTTCAACGCCGCTCTTGACCTTCTTTCAATGGCAGTCTATCTCCGCATTGTAGTCTTTTTGGGTCCCGGATTGGGCGAATATATCTATAAGAGTATCACGGGTCCTTTTATGCTGGCAGCTATGTACGGTCGCAACATTTCTCCTGATTTGATTATGTCTCTGACCACTGATTATATGCAGATACTGTTTTGGCGTATCATGTCTCCGCGAAGTAATGCGGTACCGGCGATCTGTGCGCGGTTATATACAGGACGGTACTATTCTTGTGTAGTCAAGCGAGGCGACAAATGGCTCGATGGCTCGGTGGGAACTATAATCATGGGATTATTGCTGTTGAGGTCGATTTGCGAATTCATTTCTTAAGATGCTTGATTGGAGATGTTACATATATCATAATACTACGGTTGCTCAAAGTAGTATAAATTATTAAAATAAATGTAAAGTTTAAGATGGAGTCTTATGTCTAGCACCAAGAGAAATATAATTGTCAACGGTAGTTCAAAACCACCGGGAAGAAATACAAATAGCCACCAACAAGTTTTGCTCTCACATGTATCTTGATAAGCTTAAAGAGTCACTTAGATCTGCAGAGCAGCGACGACGATGGCGCCGAGAACAACTGTAATACCGGAGACGGTGGAACGTCCAGCAGCATTGAAAGGAACAGAGCTGGGAGTAGCAGTGACCCAGACACCGGTGGAAGAACCAGCGGCAGTGGTAGGAGTAACACGGTGCAGGGAAGAAGTCTTAACGCCAGCGGAAGTAGCAGCGGCGCAGACCGAGGTAGCAGCACAGACAGTCTGGGTGCGAGTAACAGTCACGGTGATAGCAGAGGAAGCCCTAGCGGAGGAGGAGCGTCCAGCAGCAACACCAGAAGGACGAGGGCTGGCAGAAGAGACAGGGGAGACACCAACAGCAGACGAAGGAGCACTGGTGACAGCAGGGGCGATCCAGGGAGCAGTGGTGGAAGCCACCAAAGTGGGAATGGAAGATTCAACCACAGAGGTAGCAGCAGGGATGGTGGAAGCCGCGGAGGAGGACGAGATGGATCCATCCTGACAATCAGCCTCGCCCAGAACAGCCAGACACAGGTTGATAGGAATGTTGATCAGGCCACCATTGGAGTCAGAGCTCTGCTTGCAGTGGACCTCGCCGAGGACAGCGAGGCAGACGTTGATCGGAACGTTGATCAAGGACTCGCTGTCGCTGCTGGAGGAAGTGGCCTGGTCACACTTGGCCTGGCCAAGAGTAGCCACACAGGCGTTAACGGGGACGTTGATGAGGCCGTTAGTGGTGCTCTGCTGCTTGCACTCGGCATCTCCAAGGATGCCAGCACAGAGGCCGACGGGCAGGCTGATCAAGCTCTCGGTTGCCTGGACACCCTATGAACATACATAGATGATTAGCTTCATACCCAATTTCAATCCGAAATAGTGGAGGTTCCACTTACGGAGCAAGAGGCGGCAAGGGCCACAAGGGAAGTGATGATAGATTGCTTCATATTGTCGGAATAAATGTAGAAATTATACTTTAAGTATTAAGAGAAAGTAGCGTGATTGATATTGATAAAAGAATGGACGCTGATAACAGCAAAAAAAAAAGAGTGGACGCGAGAGAACTCACAAAGAGTGTAGCAGCTTGAGCAGATGAAGGTATAATAAAAGGAAGATAATCCAGAGGTGGGCAAAGGGCCTTATACATGCTGGAATACTAGCCATAGCACGCTCATTCCCAGTTAGGAGGGAAAGTGTCGATCTGCACGCCAAAAACATTGGCAAGCAAAAAATGGTCTTCGACCAAGTCCAGATCTGGTCATTGGTTTTCTGGCAGGTCTTTCATTGGCGTGCCCCTGTTATATGGGGCGTGGACGAGCTGCCGTGTATAAGGCTAACCTGTAACTAATCTCATAACAACATGCCCTAACCTGATAATACCCCGACGATCAAACTCTATATGCACTAGCTCCATTATAGTTCCTTTTCCGAGCCGCTAGCTGCTGTTTGCATTTCTTTGATCTTTCGCTTGCACTTGACTCAACTAGTATCACATTAGTTATGCTTTGACTCTACGTAGTGGGAGGAGGGGGAGACAGACCTAGAATGCGAAGTACCGGCGGTAGCTAGACTTATAAGCAGCCTTCAAAAGACCTTGAGAGAAATGTTCCAAGGTAGGATATTCACATATTTTGCTCCAGGACGAGAGATAGTCTCTCTTTTATAACTTGGAAGACGAAATGACATATCACAAGCCCATGTCAATATGTTGTAAGCAAAAATGAGCACCTGAAAAGGAAAAGGCAAGTTCAATAAAAATCCATATAACATAGTTACAATATATAGTTAGCTAGTTATAACTATATAACATTGTAGAAGGACAAGTGTAGAGTCAGTTGATCCGCTTGCCTATTAGCATCCCGCTGCGCTACATTTATTACCTTAAGATATTCTAACTACTATGTACAAAGTACTCCGTAGCACCGAGAAAATAGGTCATCTCAGGAGCTTTCAGACCTTTGTTGTCACCATAAAGTGATTGATAAGACGAAAACAGACCTTGAGCTCAAGCACTAGTACCCCTAGAGTTGTCCGCGAGGATTGTAGCTACTAACACTAAGCGTCAATATATCCATTTATGGGGGCAATGTAAAATCTTGGACGAGTCTGGGTAGTACATACCTAGGGATATAGATATAAAACATTTGACTAATTAATCACTTATAACTAACTAGTTAGCCATTATGACCTCCATCGTACAGCATAATGCTTGTATTGCCTAAATGCAGCACCCTGCATTTCCAACCCCGGTGAAGCCCTGATACGCCCCATTTATGCTTATCGCATGAGTCCATGAGTCATCCGATCTGCCCCGATAAACTCGATAAGGCGATTCAGCTCTTGTGACACTTCCGAATGACCCCCAGGGCTGTTCTCTCCAGTTCTTGCTTTTGTACACATACTTATTGCTTTCTCTTTCCAGGTTTATTCGCTCTATGAACTCTTTTAGACTTAGAGTATACATCCTTCCTTATCTCGTTTACCTCGGATTCGTTTATCGCCCTTGCCCCATACTTTGATGCCCCACGGTCCTACGCGCACAACCAAGGCTTGTATCAAGCCACTATATCGATCAAAGATACTCCTATACATAGACCATGTCTCTTCCGTTGTTACAGAACCTCCTTTTTGGGACTCTTCCTGATCACTGTGAACCGACCTCCCCCTTCCTGACCGCCATCTCCTCACATCTCCACATCTGCATCCCCACTCCCCTCGCCGCAGTCTCCTCCGTTCTTGGGACCCTCAGCATAGTCTCATGGCTCTTCGCACAACTACCTCAGATTTATAAAAACTTCCAAGTGCAATCGACCTCGGGCTTATCGATATTTTTCCTGGTAATCTGGTGTCTTGGTGATGCGAGCAACCTCGTTGGGGCGCTATACACCCGGCAGGCAGGGTGGCAGGTCGTGATCGCCAGTTATTACGTTCTCGTTGATATCACTCTGGTATTCCAGTTCTTCTGGTACACACATTACAAAGCTGGCCAAAATGATTCGTTCAACAGCCCATCACACTCGCATGACTCGGCTCCTAGAGACATCATTCAAGGCGTGCCTCCTCCAGGCGACTCAGGCCATCAGACCCCGGCTGCCGTTAACACGGATAGCAAGCGCTCCGAGGCTAAGGATGTGAGTTTCCACGCCGGATCAGTCCTTAACTCAACCCGTGGGCAAGCAGCCTCATACTCAAACGAGAAGCTGAGCTCCTCGCGTCGATCCGTGAGGATGGGCAACAGCGCACAGAGCCCGCCATTCGCACTGCCTCGGACGATGCTCATGGCATCACTCCTCTGTGCCGTACTTGCCAACGCCGCCCCCACCGATAAGCCTCATCCACCCATTTCCGAGGCACCGCGAGAGGCCATCTTCGAGATCATCGGCCGCGTCTTCTCCTGGATGTCAACAATCCTGTATCTCGGCTCGCGCCCTCCACAGCTATACAAGAACTACCAACGCAAGAGCACCGAAGGCCTCTCCCCACTACTCTTCATGGCCGCATTCTGTGGGAACCTATTCTACTCCAGCTCGTTGCTTACAAACCCGAACGCTTGGTTTGATTTCTCCCCATACGGCGGCGGCGGCTGGGCCGATGGCCATGGAAATGACCGATTGGAATGGATCGGGCGCGCTACCCCGTTCTTTCTGGGTGCCTTCGGTGTATTAGGACTGGACGGGTTCATGGGCGTTCAGTTTCTTATGTATGGCGATGGTCCAGAGAATGAAGACGACGAGAGTTTCATCAGCGGTAATGGGGATGACCCAAAGCACGGTCGCGGTCGCTGGAGACATGTTCACGGCTGGATGCGCGGCTGGATCCCCTCTTCTTCACCTCGGAGGGAATCACGGGAATCTTCAGTCCCACAAGAGGGACAAGCCCTGTTAGGCACAGAACGCGGCCAATACGGCACTGTTTGATCGGCGTCTTTCTTATTCTGCTTTTGTTTCTTGCCCACGTCTCTCGCGTAGGGTAGGTATGATATATATGATGTGATGAACTTCAGAGTTTTATTTTTGTCTTCTAGCATTTCTTTTGTCTTTCGGGTGCATTGTGTGTCATTAGGTACATCGAGCGTTTGCCTTCATTCGCTCTCTACCCTACTTGTTCTGTTTTCTGGGCGTTTTGAGACTAGATGGCATACATGGGGACAAACAGGCTGTCATCAAGGTTCGGTTGATAGCTTTTGATTCTAAGATCTTGCATTTCGCTGTCCTTTTTTTTTCTTTTGCAACGCATTGTATGTAAAATTCTCGGCATGTCTTGTATTTCTCGTTTCTGATGGGCCATAGCGCACATTTCCAGGAATAGACCAAGCTATTGAAAGACTCATGCTAGTCTAGGAAACGCAAAGTGTAGTGCCGCTCGGAAAGGGCATTAAAACATGGCTAGACAGTCCAAGCCCCTGCTCGCACTACTCAATTTCCTGTTTGAGGGAGTAATGTGGCTTCTAGCGATAGGGACATATCAAGCCCTAAGCAGAAGAAGAACAACCTCCAATCTCCCCATTCTAAGCGCTCGTTTAATGTGTACCTGATCCTCAACCAAGTTCTCAGAACCACAACCCGAGAGCGGAGCCGAAGAGGGAGTTATTTGAGCAGGCGTGGTGATATTGAGTGCACCGGCTGGGAGAACGTGGGCAAGCCACATCAAATGGCTTGGGACCATCATTTTTATATAGAATCTAGCGAGTTTAGTCGAATGGACGGATGAGTAAACACCACGAAAACGTAAATTTACATGAGCAAATGAAATAACCAAATGAGGATATCGTGGCTTTTCTCCCGGAGTCTCTCTACATGGCAATCTACCCCAAGACTCCCAAGGCTCCTAGTGTTGGAAAGTGAGATGTGATTAAAACCTTTGTTGCCATGACATGTGGCGTTAAGCTGGTAATTTGAAGCAAGGATTGTCTCGTTTAAGACAAAGAAATTGGTTTCTGCATTAATGTACCTGGCCTAATTTAGGGATGTGGCTTTTGAGAGTATTGATAGAAGACCATCACCAAGCAATGGACAGCTTTTAGCTCCGAAGTCGACATGTTCATTCTAATTGATTGCCCTGATATGGCGATATCTGGCACAACAGTGGATGTGAACAACATCTCGTCCGAGAAGAACTGTGGTTCATCCACGTCAACCAGCGTCTCGGTCCCTATCAAGACGCCATCGTCATCTCAACCACCGTCTGCCCTGCTGAAGACGCAATCACCACTGCCGAGGAATCCAGCCCTACCGGCCCATCTGGAAATGGCAAAGGCCATAACTCTGGAAACGGCAACGAGTGTACAATCTCAACAACCCTCTCAACTAGAACCGTAACCGTAACCGTAACCCAGTACCCGGCAACAGTGACCGACTGCCCAGCCCGTGACCAGACGATACATATCACGACAGAGACTGTTGTTGCCGGTACCACCAACAGCACCCGGTGCAGTGCACAACATCATCTGTTCCCGCACAGGTGATCGACCGTTATTGTTGGCACACACACCTCCACTGCGTATTCTGCTATCACCATCTCTCCAACCTGCCCAGCATCACACGCACACGCATCAACCCTGCTACACCTTCAAGGTTCATCGGCATCTACTCAGCCACGGCCAAGGTTTCCCCGTCACAGCCTCCTCTCCTACTACTGCAGGTGCAGGCACAAGTTCGGGCTCTACCACCGAAAACAACAACTCAGCAAGTGTATCAACTGTATTCAACAGTGCTTCGTCCTTCACTGTCTCCAGCTTCCTGTCTGCTCTTGGTGTTATTGCCGCTATTGCGCTTTTCCTCTGAGTGCTGCATATCTCTTTCTCTATATATTTTTGATATGAATTATAATGGATCCTAGTATTTTGTCGAGCATCGAGTCTAAATAATATAATTTGTCTAGTAAAACTTCTATGTTTGCCTTCACGTATAAGCTCGATTGAGTCTTCAAGATCCCATTCAATAGCAGTCTTGTTGTTTTGTTTTACAACACGTTTGAAATATTTGAAGGTTAATGACATTCCTCTGCTTATGTTGAAGGCTTTTATAACTATGCGCCTTGTCTAATTGGTAATCAGTTGCCCTTCAATATTCTCTTCATGGGCACTTGCCATTTAGAGGCAGTGTATCGAACCCTCCAACTTGTGAATTATATTTTTTTTTATCCAGACATGACCTGGACACCTGACGTAAAAACACAAATGCTCAGCTGGGGGTAGCATACTAGGATACCAATCACATTAGCAGACCGGCGAACTATACTTCAGCTATATAAAATATCAGTATATGCAATAATAACCCGAAACAGAAATGACAAGAAACAAGAGATGATAGACCACGATTATGACAAATGATATAACGTTCCCGAGGTCATTAAGCCATTAATCTTGTACAACAAACATATGTACTTGTGTCCTCTTATTTGCCTCCCCCGCCCTCAGAAAATAAGGAGGGGTGTTTTGCCGCCGGATTCTCCGAATTTTCCCTTGGTTTACGGGGGTTGAGGGGGAAAATTATGTTGTATTTGAATCATATAGTGCAGCTAGGAAATATGGAGATGTTTTTTGTTTCAGGGAAAAAGCCGCCGAATGTAGCCGGTCGGGCATCATTGGTCCTACTATCCGGTTTTGTGCTTTTTATTTTTTGTATTCTGTATTCTGTAGGCTTAGCTTTTAGTGTATTTATTATCTATATTGGCTATAACCATTGAATCCGGAGTGCAAGGTATGTAGGCAGGTACTATATGTACATTTAGGTCGTGGTACCTTGGAAGAATCGGTAGAACTACATCGAAAATGGAGCATGGCAGGGCACGAGGTCCGAGTATTATTAGTACGCATGGTCTTCGGTGCCTGTTGTATTTAAGTATTTTAAGTATTTAAAGATTAATAATGTCTTTCGAGACCCCTCTCAGAGAAATAAGTTTAATATATATATGCGGGACTTTTTTTTTTTTTTTTTCTTTTTTGGTAGATGTATGCGCCTTTTAAGCAGATAGGCACATAAATATAGAAGGGCTGTCAGCTCAGATATATATCTGTCAAAACACTTGTCTTTGCCTCCAAGAGCAAGTACATGGACGGAGGGAGCACTTTATGTACAGCTGGCTATGCATCAATCACGACGCTACTCCGTATTAGGATGCAGGCTGCAGGGATCAACACACAGGTCCTTGAGGGTGGAGTTGTCTACGGTGAGTCAGAGCCCCGGTGCCTCCCTAGGTGGCCAGTTAAACTGTCTCTGACATGTCAGAGAGACTAGAGAAAAGAGGTAGGGAGAATGCTAGATGGAGTGCTTGTCAGATGCATGATCTCGGTTGCCCTTGCTTGGTTGTACGGGGTAATGGGTGTGTGTGATTGCATATCTAGTGTGATTGCATATTGAGGGATAGTAGAGAGAAAATGACCCGACGACAGCTGTAAGGATGTTTGGTTTGTTGGTTAGTGCCTATTTTGTATATACTCCATAGTCTGTTCATGGGGAGTGGGTATGGAAAAGCCCGGATGAACATTTCCGTATGTAGCACTACGTAGGGGGGTTTTGTAGACTGAGCAACGGAGGGAATGCGACATTCGATGTTTACAGGGTTTTCTTTTTTTATATACAACATAGATATAAAGATGGTGGTCATTTAATATAGGACATATAGGACATATAGGACATTTATTTACTACATGTATTTACTATTCACTAAATATTTAGTTAACTATTCACTAGTTAACTACTCCGTAGTTATTCAATCTTTTTAAAAACGTAACCTTCGAATTGAAATATAACTGAGCTTACTAAGATATTAGGTGGAGCAGCCTTTTTTTTTAGTTTCTTAGTTTCTTAGGTTTTTTTTTTTTTTTCCAAAGCTCAATACCAATATACAATACCAGTGAGAACCAGAGTGAGAACCAGTGACACGGGGGTTGCATCACCGGGTTTGCCTTCAGGGTCTAGGGCCCTTTTTCTTTACTACTATCGACAATCTTACACTGCAATTACAGTACAATTACACTACTTATAGTACAATATCTGCACGTTCCAAACTCTCAGGGAAATACCGGGTAGAATTTTATAGTGAAAAAAGAAAGAAAAAAAATTAAATAAGGTGAGATTCAAGGAAGTCCAATAAGAACTAAATATAATACCAAATTCACATCCAATCACTATTTCTATATTGTAGGAGCCTACTAATTTATTCGATACATAGCACTAGATAGTAACTAGAGACAATGTGCGAAACACTTTTTTTCTTTAAATTTAGAATTTCCAATATGTGGGCCGAGTGACTCCTTCCGTGTATACCAAATACATGTAAAATTACCGGGGCAACCCAACGGCCTTTTCCCACACAACGCCCCTATACACTTTTCTTCTCTTCATCCTTCTTCTCAACCTCTTTTCTGTATCAACCTTCTCCCGTGTCAACGAGCTTTTCACTAAGTGTCGTTGATCACCTCATTCTGTGAGGTTTGCGTCTACGTGTGGGAAATTTTTTTTTCTTCCACCGGTGCTCTTCATTCTCCCGGCGCGTTCAGTTCACTCTTACGTGGACTTTTCCGCTTCGCTTCGACCTGGTTATTCGCCTCTCAAAGCATTTTGGAATTGGCTGGGTTGTGATCTATCACCTTTCCTCACAGGCTGTATCATTTCGACTCTCCAAGTGAGGATTGTGTCTTGTTCACCCATTCATCACGATCCTTCCAATTCTCATTTACCCTCATTTATCCATTGGATCATTGAACGCACCTCAATGTCATTCAACTAGAGACTGCCTCCTAGGAATACGACAGAGCGATCCGCTCGCCGAGCACCGCTCTTCTCCTCTTCCCTCCCCCCAGGATCAGGATCTGGTGGAGTAGACGGTTCGTCGCCTTGTTTCTTTAACTCTTGTCTCTCGGTCCATCTGGCTTTTGCCTATCCCGGAGGCCTCGTGTGCTGATTCCTCGTCTTCTCTGGCAATAGAATACGTCTAGTCCCCCGTCCTGAACTGGTTACTGCGCCTCCCCTTCTCAAGATGCCGTCCTTCTTCGTCCCAGGCCACCACGGCCTGCCTACGCCTCCCCATGTCAACGGTGGTCGTATGGAAGACCCATCATTCTACCCAGTTGGTCACGCAGGGTTTCCCGCCTCGCTACCACCAAAGTGGCAATGAGTTCATCGAACAGTACTCGCAGTCTCTGTGCTACGCCAAACCCACTTCGATGAATCTCCACCCCCAGTCCGCCCATCTGATGAACACTGCTCGCGATCATCACATGATGAACCAGCAGCCCATGTTCAACCCCATGGTTGGCACTGGATTGCCCTCAATCCGCAGCAACGTCCAACTTCCGCCCATGGATGCTACGATGCCGCCTCAATACCGTCGACAGGAAGCCGCCCCGATGCAACAACAGCCCGAACAACCCCGTAAGGAGGAGAAGGCAACTGGAGGTGTTGCAGCTCACCTGGATTATGAGATGGATCGCATGTCCGACTTTGTGGCAGAGATGGCTCAGGGAATGTATGATTTGTTCGAGACCAACATCACCATTGCAGATATTGACCTCGTGCGAAGCATCTACCCAGGATCTTCGGTTCCCCCCAGTTTCGGAAATACGTCTTTCAGATTTTGTCCTCGACACGCCTCCCAAGTTCTACCATTCTGCTCGGTCTCTTCTATTTGGCCAGCCGTGTGCGCCTATTGTCATCCAAACGCGCCTTCACCAAGACAGACAGTAGCCAGGTCTATCGCATGTTGACTGTGGCTCTTCTGTTGGGCAGCAAGTTCCTCGATGACAATACCTTCCAGAATAAATCCTGGGCTGAGGTTAGCAACATCCCCGTTGCTGAGTTGAACCACATGGAATTGGAATGGCTTTTCGCGTTCGACTGGAAGATTCACGACCGCATCTACGACAAGCAGGATGGTTTCGCCTCGTGGCGCGCGCACTGGGATACCTGGCGGACCAAGGCAACGGCTCGGGTTCAGGAGTCCCGCCAGACTCTGGCGCCTCTTGAGACCAACGTGGTCCGCGGCCAGGCTGTTACCAAGCCCCTTATGTCTCCCGAAGGCCCTATCCCGCCGCAGTACCAGCGCAGCTCGCAAATTGAGAACTCCTGGCTCAACCCGACCGCGTCCGAATATTCGCCTCCCTCTACCCTTTCTAGCGGCCCCACTACCCCTGACTACTACTCAGTTGGCCCTTGGGGTTACGCCAACCCACCTCCGCCTCCGCCCTACTCGCGAGGCTGGAACGTACCCTCACAGTACATGGCTCACCCTGCATCTCGATCCCAGCCCCCATCCTACCACCACACTCCGGCGTACGGCTTGCCATTCGCACAGAGTCTCTGGACGGGTCATGGTTCGTCGTGCGGCTGCACGTACTGTGCTAAGCATCTCGAGCACTACATGTGCAACAATGCATTCCACTCCATGCAACAGCCGATGATCGCAACCTAGTTGACGATATTTGGCATGTTCTGCCCACGACCCCGGATGGAACAGACGGTGTCAACGGTTCGAGACCACAAGTCTTGATACCTCTTTGAATTTCTTCTTACTGCAACTTTAGACTTCTTCCAACGTTCATTTGGGCGATTCGCATGGGATTTATTTCGATACCGTTTCTTCTTCTGCTTGAATTGTTTCCATCCTTGCGCCTTTCGACCTTTTTGCTTCCTTTAGCTTTCGCCTGCTTCTGAGCAATTGGCCTACCGCGTCTCCAAAAAGTACTTCTGTTCTGCGTCCGCTGGTTCTCGTTTGGCAAAGCGAAGAAAATCTTATAAAATGGAAAAAAAAGGGAAAAAACGCTCCCGCAGCGAACATTGGCATGCTCCCGGCAAGCCCACGATGCAAAATCTCGACTGCACTTGTTATATTAATATTGACTTCGGTTTCATCGAGTCTTATATTGAATCTCATTGTTGGGTCTTTGATCTTTCACTCCGAAGGTTGCCGGCGCCGCAGTCACGACTATCACGAATCCCCAAAATCTGACTTCTTTGTTTATTACCCACGACTTCGGTTTATATCCTTGGTCCTTTTGTTTTATGCTTGGCATTTTGTGTCTCGCGGTGATTACCCATAGAGTGCTTTCTTTCTTCCACTTCCATTTCATCTCGGTACATTATTCCCATTCGCCACGCTATATGCAGTGCCCGACGTTAATCTTTTTTTTTTTTTTTTTTTCAATTCTCATCTCAAATCTTCAATTGTTCATTCACTTTTTTTTTTCTTCTTTCGATCCCCTCGATTTGTTTTTATCTTTCTCTGATGAACCTTTCTTCTCCAATCAATGAGATCAACAATTCAAGGATCATTTACAACCCTTCTTAGCCGCATGATGTACTTCATCGCTCCCACCTCTCTCGTGTCACTTGCGACACAGATGACAAACGATTGGTCTTGGGGTCTCTTCTCCCCGTGGCATCTTCGCATGCATCCAGGGGATATCGATACCCTCGATACATCTTCTGTCTGATTTCAGACTCAGTCCATCCCCACGACTGGACTGACCTCTTATGTAGTCTACCTAAATTTGGCCGGCTCTTTTGGCTGGCTTATATATATCTGCCCTTTGCCATTCGGCGCTGTCGGTGAGCCAGAGCCGTCACATCTCCCGTCTCCATTAGTCCTGCGTTTGACCTGGATATTGGCGTCCGTGGTTGTGGCTATGGCTATTGATGCCGCTGTTCTTTGAAGATATGCCACTAAATCAGCGGCAAACTATTGTCTTTGTCGGGACTACAAACTTTTACTGTTTTTGTCCTAGGACTTGTATCAATATCTCCCTTGTACCTTCTGTTTGAGTAGTATCAGTATCTTCTATTAGATTAGTTACCCTCTGCTCTCTGTCTACTGCTAGATCCGGCAACGTCTTGGGTTACATGGCAGTTCCCTTTCGGGTGTTTAATGAACCATAACTCAGATCTTGTAGTCATTTTTGTGATAGAATTGGATTCTAGCCTAACACCAGAAAAGGGCCATCGGGCTGAAATAAGAGATAGGTAAAAATGCAGTTGTACTAGGGGGTAATCAAAATTCATCCAGACAGTCGTCGCGGGTCGTAAGAGTAGATGCAGAGAAGAAAGAAACAAGAACTAGCAAAGGAGAATGAGAAGTATGCAGACGTATAAAGTCGTCAGGGCATCAACGAAAGCAACGGGAACAATATTAGTAGACGCTCCCTTGGATGCTCTGATCTTGCTTTTGTTCCTCTTCCAAGGATAATTCCTCGATGTGGAGATGAGATGGGGAATCTGTTGACGAACTTTCTCGTTCTCCCATCTGTGTTTCTGAGTGGTTGGATGACTCATCTCCGTCACCTAGGATATTAGCCATGCGGTGCTCGGATTGGTCGGTAGAAGAAGAAACATGGTGGTGATGATGATGGTGGTGGTTATGGGGATGGTGCAGGCGAGTTTTCTTTAATTTCTCGGTGCGATTGCCACTCATCTCATCATCGCCGTCATCTTCGAGCCCCTGAGAGGGAGCTGACTGTTGGGTTTGCTCGCTGGACGGAAATTCGAAGTGGTGCTGGCTCGCATGGGACAAACTTCCAGTGGCGAGGCTAGGAGAGCGTGGTGCAGTGTGACGATGGTGAGCGTGGTCGTCGCCTTCGTCGTCGGATGGGGCGAGGCTGTTCGCTCCGCTCATCGAGCCTCCACCGTCACGGCCTCCAAGGTGGAGGAGGGCGTACTTTAGGTGCGCTGATGATGAAGATGTAGCTGTTGGCAGGTGGGGGAGATGGTTTTCACTATTTCGGTTCAGCCCGTGGAAGTTCGGTCGTTTTGGGTGCAATGGATTCACGCTTAGCCGGGCTTCTGAGCTGGAATCATATTGCTTTGTGGTGTCTCCGTTGTCATCGTCGCGAAGTTTGTGCTGAGGGTTGGAGACGTGCCTAGCACTGGGTATGTGGCTGGTATCATTCTGCGCCGAACTGCTTTCAGAGGACGATACTACATCGTCGATTGATATAGATTTGTGAAGTTTGGAGCCAAAACTGCCTACATGGTCATCGGCATGCTTTGGTTGGGCGTAGCTATGCTCGTGACGTATGGAATTCAGTAGATTCGCTCGCAACGACTGTTTCCCCTCTGCAGTCATGCCATGAGTACAGCCGTCGGGGCAGCCGCCCCACTTTCGTCGGATTGGGATATGGTCGGTGAGGCTATGACCAGTAGACGGGGCGGGCGCAGAGACCTGCTCTTTGGATGCATTTCCACGCTCTCGATCTTTTCGCAGATCTGACCAGGTCCGGAGCTTGTTCTGAAGTGTGTATTTACCATTTTCTGGGTTGTGGGTCAAGACCAGGAACTCGCAATGATTGATGTTACGAAGGTCCTCGAAGTATTCCACGCTCCAGTGATACCACTTCATGAGAAATACTCGTGCCATGAGGCCATGCGTAACCAGAACGCACACATTTGCAAAGTCATCCTCGCCAAACTGGCGCCAGAGAGACTCGTTAAATCCACTCACTCGATCATAGGCATCTGCTGCGGATTCACCATTGGGAATCCGGTAGAAGAAATGGCCGTAGTCTGCCCGCTCCATCCACATGCGCTCCATCTCCATAGAACATGGCTGGAAGTTACCGAAATCTTGTTCCCGCAGGCGGGGTTCTTCATAAACTTTGATAGTGTGTCTTGAGAAAGGCGAAGGAGAAGGTGCATCGGAGGTTAGGGATTGAATAATTCCCTCGGTGGTCTCTCTTGTCCGCCGATAAGGTGAAGTGAAGAAGTGAAGTTTATCGTCGGGTTGAAGGAGGTCACGTAGTCGATGGCCTGCATCTTGGGCTTGTCGATGTCCTTCAGGAGTAAGCTTCACACGGTGGTCTGGAATAGTTTGATGAATATCGCGGTTTTTGTTGCCTTCTGACTGTGCATGGCGAACTAAAATGATCATCTATAAGTCGGAAAAGAGTCTGTTTAAGCCAAGGTACATCTCAATCACTTAGAAATGGAGGCTTACCCGTGGTTTCCCCATGGTGGAAGGATCATGGGGAATGTAATGTGTTGCGAATGCGGGGGAGGGGCTAGTAGAAGTATCCTATTTGCAGCAAGAAGGACAACGACAGAAAAGAAAGAAAAGAAGAAAAGAACTGAAATATCTGTCTATCGTAAAGCGGAAAACAGTTTGGAAGAGCGAAGTTCAAAAAAGCAAAGAAAAAGTTCATTCCATTCGGAAATACAACTGACCCGCACGGGCCAACGGGGGGTGATCCATTCCGCCTCTACAACACAAAACTTCCGAATAGCATCAACCCGCCATGGCCGACTTGTTGGAGCTACTAGCTCCACATCTTGATCCAAATCAATCGCATGATATAACCACCGACAGATACCTCACTCGCCTCTCAACCTTGTCACTTGAAGCTCTCCAGACCACAGAACCCCCATCGCTTGCCCAATCCTCCCACTCAACCCTTCTGTCCCTTCAAGCCCTCTCGAACCGTTCACACCGAGCATTTGTCACCTCTGCCGATAATTTGTCCACACTATGTACCTCTGTCCCACAATTGACCCGCGAGGCGCAACAGCTACGTGATGCTATCCCTAAACTCGACGAGGAGGCCGTTGGGTTCTCCACCAAATACAGTAAAATCACAGACAATGCCGCGCTAGAGCGACGGAAGAAAGCGATGCAGCTCTCTCGCAACGTCGATCGATTGTCAGATATCTTGGAGCTACCAAGTCTGCTGTCCAAAGCCGTCTCCGCGGCCTCAGTCAACTCCGGTACCGGTGCCTCCTCTACAACTTACTCCTCTGCACTCGACCTACATGCACATATCAAGCGACTACAAACATTATACCCCGAATCACCATTGATTCAAGATGTTGCATCTCAGGCAGAGGATGCTATGAAGGACATGACAAGTAATCTGATCACGGGGCTTCGAACCCAGAACCTGCGGCTAGCAGCTGGTATCCGAACCGTGGGTTGGCTGCGGCGAGTAGCCCCGGATCTAGATATGATTCAGAGTGATGGGGCAGTCGGGACAGGAGAAGGCGCTCTTGGGGCCATCTTCCTGGTCTGCAGATTAGCGCATTTGGTATCAACACTTGAAGCTCTGGATCCCCTCCGCGAACTCGCAGACCAAGAAACCCAACGGAGACTTGGTGGCAAGGATAAATCAGATACGACCTCGTGGTCTGGCGGTCAGCAAACCGACCGCTATCTAAAAAGATACATTGAGATATTCCGTGAGCAGAGCTTTGCGATTGTCTCGCTATACAAGAATATCTTTAACTCTGAGCAATCCGAATCTGAATTTGCCATCTCAGGATTACGAGGTACAGACGCCCACTCCAAGGCCAAGTCAAAGCCAGCACACTCAGATGACCCCTTGCAACGTCTCCCCCCGGCTTTGGCTACTTTCCCCATGCATCTCGTGCAGTTGCTCACGGATACAATGCGCTCCTATCTTCCCAACGTCCGGGATCGGAGTTCGAGGGAAAGTCTACTCACCCAGCTTTTGTACTGTGCCGCAAGTCTTGGTCGCCTTGGCGGTGACTTTGGCATGATCTTGACCGAGCTGGGCGAGGAGGAAGATACCGAAGATATGGCCTACGAATGGGAGGAGGTCATGCGCAAACATCGAGCCTTGGCAGGGCGCCTGGAGCAATTGACTAGTCGAGTGCCGGTAAATTAACATTTCATATACCCAAGCGAAAGTACAATGCCATTTCGAGATGACGGTGGCACCTAGCGGGGGTCTGTGTATAATAGAACATTATGAAGCGCTCCCATTTTCTGAACCTTCTCGGCGGACTGTCTAATTAATACCACCCACATATAAATACATCCGGATATTGTATACCTCTTTTGCCTCGAATGTTCCACCTATGCTAGCAGTACTTCCTCGCCGACTTGCCCACACACAGCGATATATGTGTTCATGTGCTTTGCTATCTAGATTCTAGTGCATTCCTATGCTCCGCTGCTTGTTTATGTATTCCTGATAGCCACTTCCTGCGGGACGTTGTGGTCGCAGAGGTGGTCTTAACTGGCTGGCCTTCGAACTTTGCGCCGATTTTTCTTGCTCTGATGATTCCCACTGCTGTTGCTGAGGCTATCGATCGGTCTAGTTGTCACCTCCAGACATATGAGTGCACAGTTGTATATGGTCATCTGTAGCGCAGTTAGTTTGTGAGATCGTGAGATCGCGAGGGCGAGAGTATTTCTAGTCATAGTTCTGAGTCACATCATGTGAGTTCGGGCAAGATATCCTCACACGGACTATTGTAACAACAGAGGGAAGTAACTGGCGAATAAGTTGAAGTCATCAAATTGGCTACTTCGTAAAGTATCATCGGGCTAACAGTACCGTTGCCCAGAATTGGTTAGCCCTCATTTTCCGAGTGACTCACAAATATATTAAGGAGCCTTGTGAAGCTAAAATGCAAGCCTATATAAAGTGCACATCTGAAATCTGTACAGTTATTCCAATTGAGACTCTACTATTAGTCTGATTTGTGTGAAAATGGTTGTCCACTATAACCTGCTCACTAAAGAGCCCTATCTCCAACTCCCAGCACCATGCGCAAACATCATCATCACTCCATACCGCGAACACCAGATTGAAGAGGCATCTGCTGTTATGACCGAAGTTCTCAATGATTCACGCGTGTACTCCTGGCTAGTAGGGCCACCTTACCCTTTTCTACCCGAGCACGGGGTGGACTGGATGAAAACGAATATAGCAGAGAATAAAGAGCTGCTGTCTACTCTGCAAAAAGAATTCGAAGCATCGCAAAGTCATCAGGGTGACGGTTCAAATGGCGAAGAGGAACCAGTGTTCTTTGATAAATGTCCTTTCCTTTGCATACGCGAAGTAACAGAACGAGATCATGCGACCGGCGCACCGGTTCGAGATGTCTTGATTGGAGAGATCTCAATATCGCGGTATTCATTCTATGAGTTGCGACCCGATAGCTCAGAGCTTGCGCTGGCACAGAAGCAAAATAATGATTTACCTGCGGGGCACAAGGATATCGTCTGGGGTATAGGATGTATGGACACCCTAACTAGTGTAACTCGAGCTCAATTACTAACAGTGTTGATAGACTATCTTTCTCCTACTCAACAAAGCCGAGGAGTTATGAGTGTTGCTGTTCGAACGGTCATTCAAGAATGGGCTATCCCTCGGATGAACCTTCATCTTCTTAAAAGTAGCTTTTTTGTTGGGAATACAGGGAGCTCGAAAGTCCTTGGGAAGAACAACTTTGAGGAGATTGGTACATTCAAGGACTGGACTCCAGAAAGCCCAAACAAAGGACGAGGGAAGATGTCGATTGTTGTGGTGGAGTGGAAGGGGCTTTTGTAGATACTCTGAATCTCAAGTGCCATATTGTAATTACTGGAAGACAAGGGGCATTTATTGCAATCAATCTTGCATATGTAGGCAAGTTGACGTATCAAGTTGATGCATGAATTATCACACCGGTTGGCGTTGTGAAGGATCACCTTCTGCGAACCTGCCAAGGTGAGGGTTTCGAATCTCATGGCCGAACAAATTCATGCTGCCCTATCACCTGCATGTGTGATGTATAATTGATCGCCTTATTATATTACTCCTTTAAACCTCTCGCTCCAGTTTGAGATGAAATGCAAATAAGGACAAGCCAAATAATACAAACCAATGATAGCTGACAAGGGAATCACAAGTTCTCGGGTTGGAAAAAAAAAAAAAGAAATTGACTGGAAAATCTAGCATTGTAATAACACGAGTAAGGAAGTTTTCTTGACTGGGAAGATTATTGAACTAATTAATGCTAGGGTGCGAAGTATGGGGTACGGGGTAAGTTGTTTCTCATTTTCCCAAATAGGAAATTCTGCGTATCTGTCTGCATATTTCTGTGGCTGATACGAGCTCAGCTACGAGCTCAGCTAACACAGCTGATTTCTTCAATTGCCCCTTATTTCTCGTGTTATTTGAATAGGTATACGGAATACTTCGTACAAGAAAATGAACCCAGAATTACACTCTCAAATAAGCAATGATTGGAGTTAATCGTGCCTAGGGAATTCTGAGCTCAAATTGTCAATAGACACGACGTTTCATCACACATCATTTACTTCCATCCTATTCAGTAACTTGCAGTACTCCGTTAGGATAACGGAAAGGGTAGTCGGATGAGTTGCGTAAGGGATGGAGAGGGATTGCAAGACATTCAACATATTGTAGGCCATTCCCTTCGATCGTGTGATATGTTGGAATTTCAGAAATACCAGCCTAAGAATTGGGTAATGATACCTGGACAGAATAGCAAAGGGATAAATACCGGATGCCGATTGGAATGAAGTGGGCTCAAAGAGGCGTGTGGCTAATCCCATGAAGGGAAACAACAGACCAGACCCATCTGTTTGCATGGCTTAGATGCACGATTTGAATAGCGCCGTAGATGGCGAGATCTGAAGTTCAATCCTCCTTGGCACTTTGAAGTATATTACTGAGTCCGCCTCCTTTCTTCAGCCAGCACACAGGCAAAGATTATCAGGATATATCTCCTATTCACCATGCACATCTCAACTATAAGTGTGCTTCTTTCGGTTGTTCTAGCAGAAGCCGCGTCCTTCGTTACTCCTATCAGACATAAAACAAACAAGGTCAGCTCTAATACCCTATTTTCCGATACCCCAGAATTTAGAACATTCGATGCTCATACTTCTTAGGAGCTAGATTACCCAGAAAGATGCTATCCCGACCCCTGTAGAGGGGTGACCTACGTGAACTCCACTGCTGTTTGTGGTGATCCACGACTTGGTCCCAAGGACCTCCCTGAATTCTTCCCTCTCTCCAATCAACTCGAGACATACTCCCGCTTCGGCGAGCTCTGCCCAGTCGAGTTCCTGGAGAAATGGACATTGAACGCTTCCGACCCAAAGGGTTACTGGGTGTATCCAGACTTCGACGGATTTGCCATAACTACCGAGAATGTGTCGATTCTAGGGAATATCACACTCCGCGTGGGCCAGAAGCTTGATAGGTTTGGATCTGAATATGGACAGTTCCTAGCACCCCTTGGAGCTCCATATATCGAGCGGTCCCTGCCACCATCCAACCTTTTCGCACCACCCAACAGCAGCTTCCCGTACAACTACCATGTCTACGAGGTGACCAAGGCATTTGATATTCTCTTGGGACCCATTGCGGGTTGGTTTGAGCAGCCTGGGTTCGGATCGCAGCTTTTGGCCTCGTCAAGTGTGCTAGATTTGTTGGAAGGGGGGTTCTTAAAAAGACTGGACTTGAAAGACTATGATGAAGCGGATGAATACTCTGCGAGTTATCTACCTGCTCCCGAGAAAACTTCCACCTGAGTATGTCTCTGGGATACAAGTCGCTGAGCAAGGTGGGGTATTATTTTCGGGACATTGACTTCTCTTTCTTACAGTATATGCCAGTAATAATTTTTTAATAGCCAAATGCAATGTCACTAACAGCGTTTGAGAATCCATGCCTAGCAACTCTATGAATTAGGCGAAAGGTCGAGAGTTCTAAAAGTATGTGGGCAGAAATCCTGTACGAAAAAAGCCATTCAAAAAGAGCATGGTGCTTAGCTTTATCAAGCGCATTGTAACAATATAAGATTAGGATAAAATGATTAGATACAATGAACCTAGCTCCTAATCTCATATCGGAATAGCATTACTGACTCTCCGATTTACTTTGACAGGGAATCCCAGCATGCTATTATTTGTTAGTCTGTACATCAAGAAGTAGCGGGACAGCAAGACATACTCCTTTCCAGCTTGGGTGCAACCGCAACCACAGAAGATCGATAGGGGGTAGCAGAAGACCTAAAAAAAGGTTGTCATGAGCATGGAGTAAAACAAGAGAGTCTTCATGCTGTCATCCGAGAAGATACTATATTTTACTTACTGCTGCTACAATAGTAGAGAGAAACCCTGTTCATTTTGTCAGGCATGGGCTTATTCCCCGGCGATTCAGACTTCAGACTACAAAGAACCGAACTTACCAAGTGTCGGGCCAACCACCTTGCAGTTACATGGGTTCTGGTCAGTGCCGCATTGGAAGCAGACAGGGAAGATGGGAAAGAAAGGGACGTCACACATCGTGTCGGATTTGGCTGAGCTGCTGGGTCTTTGAACTAGAATATGTAGAGAGATGTCCCAGACAGATTATCTTGAAGAAAGAAGCTCCCTGGACGAAATATTCACCGCCCAGTTACGGTTGTAGTCGTGAGTTTAAGACTCTATCATGATGACGCAGAAGATTCATCGATCATGCTGTTTTAGGTAGTGGAGAACTTTTAGTTCATGTTGGGGTAATAGAGGTGATCTTCATAGTGATAGCAAGTAAAGATAACAAGATTGTTATACAACCTTGGAATATCTGATTAAGTACATAATTACTCCAATAACTCCGTATAGCTAGAGATATGATCTTGGGCTAAAATTAACCTCAAAAATGCCACCAGGACCGGGCCGGAACCTCCCGATAAAAAAATTGACTCAGCAAGTGGCTAAACCCTCTAGGGCTGGGCTTGAAAGCCACATTTCAGACACAGCCACGATGCGCGCCATTTCCCCTCGAATCAAACCTTGGAAACGTCACTTTCTACTTTAAAATCACATATAAATCACATATAACATATTCAGCCTTCCCCTACCCCGGCTGGAATTTCAACAGCATTCCTGTTGTACAGGAAACATCCAGGTCCACTCCAGGCAGCAACCGTGTCTAGAAGACCCCCAGGCTGCAACTATTTACCACAATCTATTCTTGGCATCTAATCCATTGTTTTCTGTCCGCCCCGTTTTCTTCCCCTGATTCCACCCGCCTTAATCTTCAGATCTTCACCTCTTTTTCCCCAAAGTTGAAAATCTCAACTCACTAGACACTACCCTTCGATACCCCCGATAAACGAACCCCACCATGGGCGCCCGCAGTATCCTTCCCCTCATCCTACTCCTCGTCTTTGTTGGCATCCTTGCTGCGGTCGGATTCGTCGTCTACAGCATCGTGCAGGATGTAGGCAAAAACACGCGCGAAAAGATGGAGCGCAAGAATATTGCTTTTACCAGGGACGGCATGAAAGTGCAAGTAAGGGAGGTCAAAGACGAGGCCTACAAGGACCAGACCCAGAGGTGTGTTCTATTTTGCTGCTCTTTTCCCGCCCTGGCTTGCTAGCGCCGACTAACCCGATGTTTTCCCAATAGCGTCCTCTTCAACATGTGGAACCACACCTCCTTCCCCGCTTACAAGAGCAGACTGTGGGATATGGCTGGCGCGTCTTCGTCGGAGCAGAAGGATGCTGAGAAACGCAAGTAGTATGTCGGACCTACATCCTTTTTTATTCTCATTCTGATTCGACCGTACTGACTCGTTTTGCACCAGGTTTTGCAATGAACACTTCTCCGCTCGCGGTTTACACTGGACATATTTTCTGCTTCTATCTAAATTCCATCTCGCGCTTCATCGCTTCATCGCATGCCCTAGTCCATGGCAAAGGGCTGGTCCTCAAAAATTGGATTCGCTCCTGCTTCGGATCTTCTCTGAAATTTTCACATTCTTGTTCATACCTATTTCTTTATTGTCTCGGCAAAGGCTTTATGAATGACGGCCAGTCCTGATATATGATCCTATTTTCCAGTTCGAACCTGCGAGCACTATGCGTCGTACATTCCAAATTCTGTTTCGTAAATCAATCCGGGGTTCTAAACTCGACTCTGCTTCGAGATCGTGCCTGGTTTAGTACACTACATACTGATAAATTAAGATTTCAGTTGTCAATTGACTGGATTGGATTCTCATGGCCCACTAAATCATTGTAGTAGGCATCGTTTCGATCCATTGAACTGATATTTATGTCATAAAATGGGAGATCCGCATTTCTAGCCGGAGATCTCAATGATCATTCCTCAGCATTCCACCATAGTTGCATTATCAATATGACGATTCTCCATTTCCATCCCTTATGCATTAGTCTTAGCCTCGGCCCTGGCGACGTGCATAGTAGCTTTCCTCCTGGTTCAAAAGGGCGAACGGTTCCGGTTCCGGCTGCCCACTTTGACCATACCAGGTCGGCTTAACCAACGTCTCGGGCGTATCATCTCGCCGCTCGTTGGTGAAAATCGTTTCAAAGGTCTTGGCCCACTGGACCCTGTTATTCAAGCCCTCAAGTTCCCACAACTCCTGCAAGAAATGCAGGATTGAGCTATGAGTGTAGGCCGAATTCTCAGCGTACATGGTGCCTTGATTGTGGATGAGGTGGTTGGCGGGCACCCAGGGTGAGATTATAAAGGCAGGAACACTATGGTGAAAGGATAAGCTGGATATTCACATGGCAAAACTCAAATTGGGATTAAGATGCTTACCGGACTCCCAGGCGTGTAAAGTCGTATGTAAAATTGTGGTTTGATGACTTGCCCTTGAAAACCATACCGTCTTCGGGTTGGGGCACGTTGACTGGAGTAGGCACATGGTCGGCAAACCCACCGTGCTCATCAAAGTTGATGATTAAAACACTTTATTCGAGTGTTAGTATTAACACACTCAGCATCAGGGTAATAATAATGGAACTGACGCATTGTCCCAGTACTTGGAGCGACGCAGGGCGTCGTACAAGTGCTTGACCATCTGCTCTCCTGCTGCCATGCTGCTGGTAGGATGCATCGAGTCAACTGAACAGCACTCCGGGTTCAGGTACGAGAATGAAGGCAATGTGCCGGCTTCCAGGTCATGATAGAGCTCTGTTGCATGGACGAGACGGTCCATTGCATTGTCTTGCACCCACTTGACACCATTGTTAGTCACTGAGCTGGCAATTGGATGGGTGTAGGGAGTGACTGACTTTATACATGAATCCATCGACGATGTCGGTCTCGTAGTACTATATAGAAATGTTTAGCCAGTTGTCAGTATAAACGAACAAACCTTATCTTACATTCTTCCAGCTGATATTTTTGTTGCTGAGCGATTCAAAGATCGAGATCGCACAAGTAGCCCCAGTCACATTATTCCAGAACCCAGCGGACTGATTAGTGTTATCGGCAAAACCACAGGATGAGCCCGAAGTTGCGAATTGCCGGTTTGGGTTAGTGGGACCTGGGTGCTCGGCGAACTACAAAACAGGGTCAACAGTCAGTTATCTGCAATATATATTTCCGCAATATATATTGTAGTCAAATTGAGGCCAAATTATTACTCACATATGAATCAAAGAAGGCGAAATTGCTTGCCAACTCCACCAGAGTGGCGGTCTTCTTTTCGTTCAAGGCCTTGATCACGAATGCCGAATCTCCAGGGGTAGCATTGTACTTCTCCGATTGGCGCTCGATAAAACCACCCATGTTGGGGACATCCTCTTTTGTCGGATTCCACTGGCGGAAGATTTGGTAGGTAACTCCACCAAAGTTGTGGTCCGGGTCTTCTAGTGGCACTTCGGTTGCATACGGCTCGGCGCAGATTGCTAGTGGCTCTCCGTAGACCGTCCAATTGGGGTTGGTGTAGTCATTGCAATAGGTGAGATTGCGCAAATTGTCAATTTCAGGATGGAAATCCCAATAGCCAGCGATGTTGTCAAACGAGTGGTTCTCAAGAGTCAGATAGATGACATGCTTGATCTGAGAGTGCTCTTATAAGCCATCTGCTCCTAGTATAGATGCTGTGCGGTCCACTCACATTTTCTCGCAGCTGGCCCCACAGCTGAGCACCCCCAGTTGGGTAAGTGGATACAAGACTGGCTAGAGCCGTCAGAATAACGAAGCCCCAGTGGAGAATCATAGTTGCTTTTGCTCAGGGTGAGACTATAAGCTCTGTCGTGAACAAGTGCGAGGAAAGAAAGAGGATGGAAAAGGGAAGAAGTGAAGAAGGAAGTGAAAGAAATATGTTTGTAACCACCTTCTTGCCATCTATAATCTGCCATCTCTAATCCTCTACGGATACCTGTACCATGGGCACCTGCCACAGAGGGCGCTGGAGGTGAAGGTCATGCTCAAAAGGGCACTAGTGCTCCTCGGGGATTCAACATCGGTAATTACAGCCCTCGTTTAGTTAGATTTAGATGACCCCCAAAGAGGCATCGTGATGTGATATACCTGGTAATTCAGGTTAGAGGAAAACAGAAGTACCCATAACCCACGTGGTGACTGTTAGAGAATCCTTTCTAGACCAATGTGATCAAGTCTAGGCGACCTTGAGACTAAAATGTCTAGCAATCCCCATTAAGATCAACCCCTCCTAGGGCAATGGGCATACGGCGAATGTTGTAGTTTATATTGGCACGTGAGCCGTGCGGAGGTCTGTGGGCAAAAGATTGGAGATTAGAAATAACAATTTCTGATTGGTCCCAGACTTCAAGTTAAGCTGCGGGAGTCCCTCTTATAGACCCACATGGCCCCGCACTGAAGCTGACCCTCCTCGAATCAGCATTGCACGTGCCCTGTCGCCAAGCACGTTGTCTTCTTGGGTCACTCGATAGGCTGTTGGAGCGGTGGGACCTGATGACTTTCTTTGTCGAAATGTAAGGATGTAAGCATGGGAAGAGCTCATGACTGTACCTCGTGCTCTAACTGGCTAATCTCGTATCCCTCGCTTTCACTTAAACATTCTCAAATCCCATTCAAGGGATACAGCAAGGTTTCATTTCACTCAATCCCTCCAATCTCACCTCACCTATGTCAATCAGCTCCTTGACCGGCCTGATGTCGAATTACATGCCCCTCTCCGATCGCAGTCCTTCTTCGGAGGATGAAAAGGACTCTCATTCTCGACTTCGACCGGATGTCGAGGCTGGGAACAGCACAAACCCTCATAATGACTCGGAGCGAAAGTCTTCACGCTTCATTGACGGTCGCACCGTGTCCGATGCCATCATCGGTCTTTCCGACGGCATGACTGTGCCCTTCGCCCTAACTGCTGGACTATCTGCATTGGGTGATACCAAAATTGTCGTTTTCGGTGGGCTCGCAGAACTCATCGCAGGGGCCATATCGATGGGACTCGGTGGGTATCTCGGTGCTAAAAGCGAGGAGTAAGTCTACTTAGATCCTGGATCCTACTACTTATGAAAGTCTGCTAGAAGTGATCCTGGAGATTCGAGAACTGACAAGTTTATAGAGAGTCATACAAAGCTACATTAAAAGAGACCCGAACGCAGACTTTGACGGACCCCGCCTCCGTGTCTGAGACCATCTCCGATATTTTCGAGCCCTACGAGATGCCTTCTGAACTGGTCGCGCAACTCAAAAATCATCTGTCTAACTCTCCTATGCTTCCATCCTTTCTCATGAACTTCCACCACACTCTGCCCGAACCCTCAGGCTCGCGCGCTATAATCTGTGCTTTGACAATCGCCCTGGGATACTTTATCGGTGGATTTATTCCTCTCATACCATACTTTTTCGTCGGACCCCATGAAGCCTTCATCGCCCTACGGTGGTCCATTGCTACCATGGTCATTGCGTTGTTTATCTTCGGATATGTAAAGACGTGCTTTGTCAGTGGCTGGCGTGGTCGTCGAAATATCCGCAAGGGTGTCATTGGAGGTATACAAATGGTACTGGTTGGCGGTATCGCCGCTGGTTCTGCAATGGGGCTGGTGAAGGGCTTCCAGATGCTGGCTGACGCTAATGAAGACCACCATCAGCATGACTGAATGGCCATCGAAGTCTTTTTACTTTTTACGATGTTGGCGCTGAGCGACTTTTTTTTCATTTTTCTCGGTTTTCGGCGATACATCGGATGGCGTTTGGGTTTACTTTTTGATTTGCGAACTGCGAACTGCGAACTAAATCGCATGAGGACTTTGATTCGCTTATCTAATGGCTGCTTTCCTCTCAGTCAAAGTTTCTAGCAAGAATATAGCGGTCATTAAAACTAAGATCTTGTTTCACCATGATGTCGTTAGTCCTAATATCACCAAAATACCGATCCCTGCATAGCACAAGGGTCATCAACCATCAGAAAGTGGAGGAGCTCCACATATGTTGCTACTATGGTGGCATACCGAAAATGCCAAGTCGCCGAGCTCTTTTGCGGTGGCTATGTCTTTGGACAAGGCGCATTCATCAACGTGACACTCTCCGGCACTTTCTCCACAGACTCCCCCAAGCGCCTTGGCATAATCGGCTAACGGTGGTCAATCAGAGATAACATGGCATAATAATATATACTGCAGCAGTAATTATCGACTTCGTCTAATGATGTCTGGGATTCTGACTCCTTCGGACACCTGATACAATAGCATGAAAATATTATTTGTTTCGAAATAGAATGCACAAGACCTCAATAAATACTAGGGCAACCTGATACTAATACCTATATATTCATATGCATAGGTAAATGTCTATCACACACATAACTAAGGAGAACACCCTATGCCAGTCCTTCCTGCTTCCCCTGGAGCAAATCTTTCTGCTTCTTATACCTCGCGTCTTTGCTGTTCACTATCGCTTCTTTTTCCAATGCCTCCAGAAGATCTAGGACGTAGTCTTGGCAGTTCCAACCTCGAATCTCATTGTGGACGGTGACTTGGCTAGCGACAGTCTTGATGGAGTTGATTTCGGCGACATCCACATCATATAGGGAAAGCAACTCCACCAGTCTATCTGATTGTCGAACATCTCTTGTTTCCAGTTCATAGCGGAATCTGCCATCCGAGCCCGCTACCTGGAGGAAAATTTTGTCTTCTTCTCCGGGTGCATCGATGAAAACACCCCAGTGTTTGTAAATGCCGTCGCCGATGCTGATGGCAACATAAATTGAAACTGTCGGCGACATATTGAATGCAATATATAATATATGGGAAAGTAATGATGCGAGTCTTTGGTGATTTGCACGAAAGCAGTGTTCCTCGGTAGTGCTCACTCTGATATGGTGTGGTCAGTTGTTATGAGGCTTTGAGCTGGAGTGAAAAAGAAGATAATGCTGCAGTCACAATATCCAACATTAGGATAAGCGCCGAACATTATGCACAGACCTCTAATAACTGTTCTCTTTTTAGCCTTGGTCGCCACGTCATAGTCAATGAATGGCGAGAGAAGCGCTTAGCCGAATAATTAGGAATCTTGTTCACAAATACCAGCGCTTGTAGCGAGCCTATACTTGGCATAGCACACGACTACGAGAATGTAGACTCTCTAAATCTTTGCAACTTCTTTTTACCTCAAGGAATGATATGAAATATAAAATGTACAATGTAGTCATGTTCCCCACTGGCCGCATTGGGTTTGCATTGGGTTTGCGGGGATGTAATATGATAACCTGGTAGGATCGACGACGCAGAAACGTCGATCATGATACATATTTCGTATCAAATAAGCACGGGCGTGTCAAATGGAAATTAGGTGTGAAAGACCATTAGAATATGCCTGAAATGTAAGCCTGTGCAATGCCAAGGGCTCATTCACATATCTTGACAACAAAGCAATGAGTTAGGTGAATGAACTCACTGAGTATTCATGTAAGATAAGAAGTAGTATCATAGGGATATCTTACATTCTTGACCTGCACCCATATCCCCATGAGGCTTAGTAGCAAAGCAAACAAGACCTCCTTCCAAGGTTGATTTCAAGGTTACAGCTTGACTTCATATATGTGGCGCAGCTTTTCTACACATCAGTCTTGCATCACTGCTAAACCCACTCTAGGCACCCGCCCCCCAGATACGAATACGAACTCGTGCTGGTTCAATGGAAAAATGAATACATCGTAAACTACAATATCGTAATAATAAACTTCGGGATTACCTACAGTTTACAGAGTAACAGCTGCCTATATTGTAAAATGCCGTAAAATGACTAGGGAGCTTTGACGCTGGATTGGAGACGAAGTCAAGGTGTGATTGGCTGGGGTCGCGCGACACTTGAATTCTGAAACGCATGTGCACCAGATTCAAGGGGTGGAAAGTATATTCAACCATAGCTGTGCCGTCCTTTGTTGTGCAATTTCTCTTTACGGCAGATATGTTGTTCACTAGTTGTAGTCTAAAATGAGGAGGCTGGTCTCCCCTACAACATAGAGGGGCTATCCGTTATCCCCTGAACGTAGGGCATTATTACATGATAGGCTGTACATCTGCAGTTACGCGCTGGCCCCATGTAAAACAGCCCCAATAGCCCATTAGTGTTAGGCTGATGTTTTTCTTCTAGGTAACCAGTTTAACTTGTCAAACCGGGGCTCTATCGGGCGTTCATTGTGTGTGGCTCAGCCGTATAACCGGGGCTGAGTCTCCTTGATGCCAATGGACACTATAACATACGGAGTACGGATAACGGAGCAAACGTTGGCCGTTGAAGACAGCCTTAATACGAGGAAGTATGACATAGCTAGTTCTGTAGCTAGTCTTGTAACTAGTCCTGTAGCTAGCGCTGTAGCTAGTGCTGTTTTGAATCACCAGGACGATAGTTGAGTTACAGACCGTGCATAAGCGAAATTAGATAGTTCTGATGGGGTAAGGGGGTATAATACCGGAACTGAACGATGGGGGTAAAGGAGAAGTAGCCAATCAGATTCCGACGATGGATCTTATATGGAAAATTTGCGTCCCAGCTGTAATTTTGGAACCTCGGAACCATTTTCAGCAATACTACTACTACATAACTAGTTACCTATTTGCCTAGGCACCTAGGTATAATTTAAATGAAGTTTAAACTATGAAGTCGATATGCAACATACGGAGTAGCGTGATGTTATATATCAATATATAATACACAAGTGAATACAAATTGTAGACAAAGATTCTCGGGAGTCTCGGAGTCATCTGCATAAAAAGACCAACATGTCGGACCATTGGCATAACAAAGTCCGAGATATGCCCAGAAATGTGATCTCCGTGGCTTCCGTGGCTTCCGAGTTAAATTCTCAGACCGGATGTCCAGGACTGTATGTATTATTAAATACTACCGAGGGCACCGGTCAGAATTGGAATAGTAGTTATATCGAATAGTTATACTACCTCAATCTAGTTATATTTGTATGTTGTACCTGAAAAATGGAGGATTTTAAAATGTACTACACTAAAACCGACTAGTGACGCCATAGACAGGTCAAATAATACATAACTATGCTGTAGGTAATCCAATACAGAGTACTACACACGGATGTAATCATACCGGCAAAAATTACAAAAAAAAAATAGATCTTGGCTAATACCAAAAATACCAAATACAATACTTCAATTTCCCATGGATGAAATCCAGGTCTTTTCTCCCTTTTCCCATCTCTCTTCTTTAATTCTTAATATCTCCGTTTTAAGGGCTTTAAGTGGTTTCCTTGGTTTTCTCGAGTTCTGTTTATCCTGGGTTCTATCGGTTGTGCCCTTCTCTCCTTGCATCCCGACCCTTGTCAACGTGACCTCCTGAGTTCCCTGGGACTCACGCCCCCTCGGCCCTATCCTTCGCCTTCCTATCGGCCCAACTCAACTTTTCATGAGCCTCTTTTCTGGCCAACGATAAATTTCTTTTCCGTTACGCGACCTCCTTCCGTCTGGTCCCGCGGCATTCCTTGAAGTCTCAACCACCCTTTTCCAAACTGATCCGGACTCTCCTACAGGAGAGTCGCCCCGAATATGAGCGCTTCCTATCCGTCATGGAAAGATCGTACGCAGAATCAGTTTGGAAAGCTTCAGATTCAAGTGCCATGGCGCTCATTCCAGCTCCTGGTGCCACATCGCATGCGTCGCAAGCTCCGGTCCAAACTCCGGAGCCGCCTCTCGCCCACCTCGTCCATATCGAGGTTGCAAACCTCCTTCTCACCTGTCGACACCCTTAAGTCCTTACAGACACACCGATGGACGCTGTATGACTTCCAATACTTGTTGCTCCTCATCATCGGCTTCTTCTCCTTGACGATCATCCAGTCTCCTGGTCCACTGGGAAAGACCGCGATCGCCACCGGACTCTTATGCTCCCTCCTTATGCCAATCACCCGGCAATTCTTCTTGCCTTTCCTCCCCGTTGCTGGATGGCTTATCTTCTTCTATGGGTGCCAGTAAGTTTTGCTTTCTGTTATGTTTCTTGCAGATGCGCCTGCCATGGCCTTGTGGCGTGAGTAGGATATGCGGGGATATGAACATTGCTAACGCGTGGTTTTCTAGATTCGTTCCAAGCGATTGGCGGCCTGCCATTTGGGTCCGAGTGTTACCAGCCATGGAAAACATCCTGTACGGTGCCAACATCAGCAACATTCTATCCGCCCACCAAAATGTGGTGCTTGACATTCTGGCATGGATTCCTTACGGACTCTGCCATTACGGAGCGCCATTCGTCGTTTCGCTGATCCTTTTCTTCTTCGGCCCCCCGGAACTACCCCTCTGTACGCCCGGACTCTCGGATACATTAGCATGATCGCCGTCTTCATTCAGTTGGCCTTCCCCTGCTCGCCACCCTGGTATGAAAATCTGTATGGTTTGGCCCCAGCCGACTACTCTATGCAGGGAAACCCGGCTGGTCTTGCTCGGATTGACAAGCTACTGGGTATTGATCTCTACACTTCGGGCTTCAGACAGTCCCCCGTTGTTTTCGGTGCATTCCCTTCGCTCCATGCTGCGGACTCCACCCTGGCAGCCCTGTTCATGAGCCACGTCTTCCCGCGATTGAAGCCCCTCTGGGTTACCTACACCCTGTGGATGTGGTGGGCTACCATGTATCTTTCTCACCACTACGCAGTCGATCTGGTCTGCGGTGGTCTACTTGCCACAGTTGCCTTCTACTTTGCCAAGACCCGGTTCCTTCCCCGAGTGCAGGCCGACAAGATGTTCCGCTGGGACTACGACTACGTCGAGATCGGTGACTCTTCTCGCGACTTCGGGTATGATCTTGCCAGCTTAGATGGCGATTTCAACCTGGACAGCGATGAGTGGACCGTGGGCTCTTCTTCGTCCGTTTCCTCGGGCTCTTTGAGCCCCGTGGACGATCATTACACCTGGGAAAGCGAAACTCTCACCTCGAATCACGACATCGAGGCTGGACGCTAATCCTCGAGATTCACTTGCACGTGTCGCTTGGCGCAGTGCATTCTTGCATCTTCTACTTTTGAATCGGCGTTATGTTTGACGACAATGTTTGGGAACATTATCTGCATCGAGCAACTTTTCAACCCCTTAAGGTTTTTAATAAAACCTCCGGTTCGCGCGGTACTTCCGCCTCGAGCTGAAGGTACTCTTGACCTTCTGGCTGTATATGCCTCGCCACCCCACTTTGGGCTGGCAACTCCGTCTATAATATTAATACCGGTGGTGGAGAGGATCAGGCCTTTGTTCACCTGCCTACATTCGCCAATCCCCCGCACCGCCACCGTTGCCAACCTTCGCTTGTACACATTCTCGGATGCCCTCGGGCGATCCTTTATTTTTCTGACCCATGTCTTTCGCTACGACTTTATGAACTGGGCGAGCCACCTTTTTTGCTTTCGGCTCGTCTAGATGAACAAATATTTTTACCATTCGTGTCGCTCGCTCATCATAGGCGCCTGGGAACTTCAACCTGTTTTTCTTTTTCTTGTGATGAAAAAGTTTCGGTGCTTTTTGCTGCACCACCACTCGCTGTGCACTAGAAGGGGTTTTTTTTTTTTTAATGCCGGCTGTTTTTATGAAATTCTGCATCGGCACATAAAAGATCGTCTCGATCTACTCTCCGTTTGTGTCTACGTCGCCTGGGAGGTGATGAAGCGGCGTCGGCAGTGGATTCTTGCCGTGTTAATTCAACGCGACAAGATCCGAGGAAAGGGGACAGTGAAAGCCGGGGTTCATATTTTAGAGCTCGAGTAACCGTGGCAGCTAGGGTGAAAGGGATTTTGGTACTTTTGACGGATGCCATCTCCCCACCCTCGAACTTCGCCCATTCTCTTCACTTCTGGCTATCAAAGTCGAAGCTGATCCAACAACCTAATGCATTTTACGCCTCCCGTGACAACCCCTAGTTGTATCGTGTGCATGTCTGTTATCGTTACTTTGGGCGGATTGAGGTCCTGTTGGGTATTGCTAGCATTATTTTTAATCACTAGCGTATGAATAAATCATTGTACATTATTTACATTTCTGGGTTTTGTCATTGTATATAGTACACGCATCTAGTATACGGAGTACAACATTTCAACTTAGCCTCTAGTTACTCGAATCTTCATCCCTAGGTCTAGCATGAGCACTGACAACCCCACCAGTCTACGGGTGTGATAAAGGACTCTCCACAACAGTGGACGGGACATGGCGTGGTCCTTGCTTTTCGCATGGGCCAATAGTCCAGCTCTGTCGATCCCAACGGGATCAGCTGGTGCTAGCTTGCATAAGTCCCTATTTTAGGGCTATAGGTACGAAGTCTGTATCCGCGCTGATCCGTGATACAAGAGGCTGGAATTTATGGCCTGATTTATTGGAGTATTTCAGTACGATGTATTATAAGCTAAGCTATAACAGGGCCAATACGTGTTGTCATAGAAATATAATGAGTTCGTATAAGGGCTTATCATCGAAATATACAGAAATGCTGGCTCATAAGCAAAACCTCCATCCGTCTATAGAAAAAAAAAAAAAACGAGGTATATATATATGTGTATCAAAACGCGAGCCAAACCAAAGAACAATTATTCGGAACAGTCATAAAGGAACCCCAATCCGATCTATTCTTCGTCGAAGATTTGTACACGATCCGCATACTCGCGGATTTTGGAGACGAAAGTCTCTTCGATTAAATCGCCTTTGCCGCCAGCGACACGGAGAAGAAGGTCATTGAGTGAGGCACGGCCGAGAATATCCACGTGGTCACCTATATGAAGTTAGTCGCCTGTCATATCTCGTGGGAAAGAGTTGGATGATAAGGGAGCAAAGAGTACATACCAGTGTTGGGACCACCGCGGGGGGAGAAACGATCCGGCTCGTGAGGCATCTCAAAGACCTTGATCTTTGTGCCAGCTGGGTTATAACGCTTCATGCGCCAACCTTTGGCGCACATGTAGCCTGTGCTAAGCAGATTCACGGTGCCGTCGCCCTCCCCCATTAACACGCCGTGGTCGACGCCCTCGTTGTTTGTGATGGTGGTGTCCATGCTGATCTCGAGGTTGACCAATGGGTCGGGCTCTTCCTGGTAGAAGTAGCTGCGCTCTGTGGGTTTGCCCACACCGTAGAAGCAATATATCTTCATGTCTGGGGCGAGGGGTAGACGCGACTCTAGAGGGTTGAGCCAGGTACGCGGGTCTTTCTCGTTGGCTTCCACCTCGCGTTTCGTGTGGGCGACACCGTGAGAGTAGCTATTCAGGACTTGTTTCCGGTACCAATCCTCGCCCTGGTCCATGAGGTACTGAAGACTCTCCGGCGTAGTGAGATTGCGTCGGGTCAAGGATGAGTTGGTCTCGTGGAAACGGAGCAGGTTGCCAAAGGTCAGGGGCTGACCTGGTTGGTCATCTGGCGCCCAGGTCGAGTTTCCCCATATGGCCTCGCCGCCTTTCGGTAGCATGCTGGAGATACCAGGCATCGCGCGGAAGATCTCCGCGCGTTCCTCTTTCGACAGGAACTTCTCCAGTCCATACACAGCAAAGGCGTTCAACTGCGCTGTATCCCGCATTTCGCCGGACAGAACGGCAGTCAATCCCTTGACGGCGCCCAGCATGCAACCGCTAATGTTGACCCACGAGTCGATATGTTTGTTGACCCAGTCTTTACCGCCCTTCCCATGTTCCTCACTCTCTACCCACTTGAAGAAATACAACACCACCTGAGATCCCATGCTGTGCGATGCTAATGTGATCTTCTCGCCCTGTACCTGAACTGCGGTCTCGATGTAGGACTTGAGCCGAGTGAAATATTTATCACGAACTTCGAGGTTGAGATATGAGAGTCGCCAGTCGTATGCAGCCGTAAACGCATTGGTCGGATCATAGCCGATGGTAGCCAGGTTCTCGAGGATTTTATTCCATATCCAATACCCTGTGATAAAGAAATCCGTGGCATCGAATCCTTGCGCCGCACGGAGCTTAATGCCAGGCGGGTCAAGGCCTGTATCCCGATCGAGCATTACATGGTTCTTCCACTCAGCTTTATCCATGACCAAAGCTCTCATCATGCTCCAGCTACCCCATAATCGTCGACGGAAGTATTGCCGCGAAGTTTCCCCCGTGCCCCAGCTCTCTAAGCCAGTCGAGATAACCCCGGGGATCATCACAACGGGGTGTTTGGCCTCTACACCCATGGAGCGAAGATGCAGCCCAACAGCAAAGGAATCATAGCTGACGGTATCGCGTTCATGTTGCTATGTCCCAGTTGGAAGTCAGTCGGATGGTAACCAGGTGTAGAGATAAGAGCACTCCCTTGGAAATCACGTACCGAGAATTCTTTTACGTCACTTACAATTCCCTGTGGAATAGCATCAATCCATGAATCGAGATTCAGGTCCATGAGGGAATCTAGGCTTATGACCTCCTGCTGGTTCGCGAAGAACAAGGCGACGAAGATGCCGAAGATCCCGCCCAGCATGAAGATGAACCCATTGCGACGTTTACTTCGGGGCTTGACAACAAGCTGTGTGGCTTTTGTATCAACAACCTCCGCATGAAGCTGTTCTTTCTCAGGCTTTGTATTGTTGGAGGGCGGGACCTCGTCCTTGCCCGTGCGGCGGCGGAGCATGGCGACCAACCGCGAGGGAGGCAGAAGAAGGGGAGGACCTGATCAGTTTGCCTGGAATTTGAATGTTAAGAACAAACCCAACAAATTGGAAGAAAAAGTAAGAAACAAGAAGAGGAAGGGGATAAAAAAAAACAACGGAAGTGCCATAAAGTCCGCGAACGGGCGGATCGGCATCACATGGCAGAGAGAGTTAGTTAACTTTCCTCCCCGACACATCCCACCCTTCTCCTCGTCAACTCCAACCATCAACCCATTTCAATGACATCGCTGTGATGAGCAATGCTCCTGATCTTCGCTACGTGCGATATGAAAACTCGCGCGAAAATGAGTATGTCGCCGCAATGCGCCAGCTGATCTCCAAAGATCTGTCCGAACCTTACAGCATCTACGTCTACCGCTACTTCCTATACCAATGGGGTGACCTGTGTTTCCTCGCGATGGACGATAAGGGCGAGATGGTCGGGGTCGTGGTATCGAAGCTAGAGCCACACCGCGACGGCCCGCTGAGAGGGTATATCGCCATGCTGGCCGTGCGCGAAGAGTACCGTGGCCGGGGAATTGCAACCAAGCTAGTGCGCATGGCTATCGATGCTATGATCGAGCGGGATGCAGATGAGGTATGTCTATATAGCGGAGACGGCTGTTGATCCTCGAACGCGGTCTTGAGAGTATGTTGGCTGACTTGTACGTGTCTGGGCAGATTGTCCTCGAAACTGAAATCACCAATACCGGCGCGATGAAACTGTACGAGCGGTTGGGCTTCCTTCGTAGCAAGCAGCTCCATCGATATTATTTGAATGGAAACTCGGCCTACCGGCTTGTGCTCTATCTCAAAGAAGGTGTGGGCGCGATTCGGACGGCACTTGTTGATCCCTATGGTCTCCCACCATCAGTACCTGGTCTACCTGATGCGTGTGGGGGGCATTCCCATGCGAATATGGGGTCATTGATTTGATCTTTTTGGTTGTTAGCAGCACTATGAAGTTTTCCTCGTTGCTCTGTCAAGCTGTGCTGGCATGACATGTCATGATAATGTATGAGAAATGACCAGAATAGATATACCTACCTCACGGGAGCTGGGGTCCTTGTGGAACTTGCATTGTATAGAAAGATTAGCAAAGGAAATCTTTTATATTTATTTTAGAATCAAGCTATTCCATATCCCTTCGTTCCTAAATCATGCACATAAATTGTCTGCATCTTGCTCAACCTAGGTACTACAGGCACTGTTCTTAATGTCGCTAACTAGCATTTACTTCAGTCGAAGGTTTGTGTAAAATAAGGGAAATGGAATGGCCTCGTGAAAATATCATTTGGCTTGATCCTGAATTAGATATAAAGGATTTCGATTAAGAAGAATAAGTGGCAGGAGGATGTTTGGGGATAGGGTTTACATCTTCACTATTTAGCCTAGTGAATATAGTCACTTTCTCCACTGATGTTGATATGATATACTGAGTATACAGGTACTACCTAGGTGACTAGCTCTACAATAAAAGAGTGAGTAAACACCCCCATGTATTCCGTGGGACTCGACAAGTGAACTATGATGCCCAAATGCGTAGCGACTTGTTGTAGAACACTCACGAGAAAGACTCGTTTGATTTGGGTGTGGAGCTGCATAGGCCTCAACGATGTTGATGTCTTATGCATAGGCACCCGGGTTGCTACGGGACCCTCCCCGTATTGTTGTCTCATGGGGGCTACGGCGAGACGGTGGTCGAGAGGGAGAAGGCTGGAGAAAGAATAGAAGAAGAAGAAGAAGAGGAAGAAAGGTAGGAGGGGTCCTTTTATATGTTCACATCCCAGGTGCCTTCCTAAAATGGACAACTCTCCAACTCACCTTCCCTGATAGTCCCATGTCACATGCCACCAACATCACCTAAGTATATAAAGAGACCACCTGGGCACCTACAAACACATCCAAGATTATATCAACTTATATCAACATCTCATTGCAATCTATATGATCTTCTTGGATAATTCCATGGGATGACTTGAAGCTGGGGGGCCGGTGGGCCTTGGCTGGGGGGGGCACCTTCCCGGGGAGGGCTTGCTTTGCTAGGGCAAGCCGTGCTGTCACCTTAACTAGTATCGTGACCATCCAGTGATCTCTGTCCGAATATCTTCATCAGCACACTGTATAGCAGTTTGGTTCCTGGCATCTTTGACATTAAGGTCCGCTCCTTCCCCAAGAAGACGATGAATGACATCGATTTTGCGAAGGAACACTGCCTTGTGCAGAGGAGTTTCTCCCATAAAGAAATACATGCCCTAAGAGGGCTTATGATCATGATAACATGATCCCATTAATTGGTGCTTGCTGATCAATGAGGAGCTTTCGGAGCTTCAGGATCTTCAGAACCTCCACTGTATCGGAGTCCGAACAACTGCATGGTGTAAAACCTGCCCTTTTGTAACATCGCCGCCACGATTGAGCAGCAGACGGACGATTGGCAAAGAGGCGTGTTCAACAGCGTAAGACAGTGGCGTGAATTCAATGTTGCACCGACGGTTAGGATCGGCTCCGTGATCAGGAGCCAAGTGTCATCTCGAGATCATCTAGGGCATTACTATAAGGGCGTCACAAGAAGGCAACTTTAGACATTGGTAGTTTGACTCACCTGAGAATCGGGGGTCCATTGGGCCCATTGGATGGTTGATATCCCACCCATTTTCAAACAATATTTCCAGGATATCCTTTGCATTTGCTTTTTGTCTTGATAGGCTCATTTATATATACACTGGGAACAAGGGCACTCCATAATGGAGCAGCTCTTTCACAAAACAGGTTCTTCCCAGCTTGATGGCTTGAATCATCACTCCTGGCAGATTGACTGTATTGGAATGATGTAAGCTACCGCCGATAGAGCTGCTATTTAAAGTGCTCTGAAATCTTTCAAGGTTGCCTTGGAGGGCTTGGATGGGCGCATGCGATGGGGTTAATAAATTGGGGGGAAGAAAGGACCTGAGGTGAGAGCCTATGTAGACTATATATTGCACATCGCTATAGTGACTGTACGGAGTAGCCCATTCTAAAATCAAAGTATCATTCGAAATAGAAATAACAAAACCACCATCACATTTTCCCGTGGCATTCATCTCGGTATCCCGACGGAGCTACGAACTACGAGCCACGGAGTTATGGGAAGCCTGGATCTGATTGTGAAATAGTGGATCCCCGTGTCCTTTATATATAACTTATGCCGAGGTCCCTCGTGTATATTTTAACATTTCCAAAATCTCTTCATTCCCCATGGATCCAATAGCAGTCAGACACATCCAAAGCCCATCTGGGATAACAAAGAATAAACAAGGTCGTCAACCAGGCAAAATAGCATGCACAGCATGCCACGCCCGCAAAAAGCGATGTGACATCTCTCCGCCATATCACCAGTGCACACACTGTCGCAAAGAAGATCAATGCTGCATCCCGCGAGATTCAATTGACAGGTATGTGAAATATGTAAAACGAAGAAAATAAGGGATACTACCAAGACTTACAAAACCCATTTGGAAAGACCTCCCCGGCGACGAATGTCCAATCGAAACCACAACAGCCAGAAAGCTAGTAATAATCACGAAAACCAATTCCACGTCAATGGCTTTCTGCCAATGGGAATCGATCATGAAATTCCTCGCTGGAGTGCCGTGTATTCGTCTTATTCGGAGATGCGCCGGCTACTGCCTTCTCTCACTTCCACTTCCACTTCCACTTCCCCGTCCCTTTCGTCCGAGATGGAAGATGATATTGCGCACAACCAAACTACACCAAAAGAGAGAAAGTGGAATGCGTCTCCGTCAGGGATGGGATCTTCAAGACGTCTTCAGTGTGATGTCTTATATAAGGATTGCGCGGAGCCGACTTCTTCTATAAAGGGGATTAGTATACCTGCTTCTCGGTCTCTATCTCGGTCTCCATCTCCGGCACATGTGGCTGATAGGGCTGGGTTGGAGAAGGCGTTAGCCTGCGAAGCTGATATTCATGGGGATCTCGCTTCAATGAGGGAAGTGAGATGTCCAAGTGACGGGGACTCTGGTTCTGCCTATGAAGTTTTCATGAATGATCTCGATGCATTGCTTAGATTTTGATGGTGCTTAGATTGAAAGAGGAAAATGTATTCGCTCACGATTAGATAAATGTACATATTTTTAATCTGTTATTCTGGTAATTGCAGTTCTATGATTCTATATTTCCAGATAATGTACAAGTATAAGATACAAGAAGACGGGCAAGTAGGCAGAGTAGAGTACACAAAAACAAAATACCAGCCAAAACAAGCCCGCCAGATGGGATATTCATGCAACACGCTAGCGTCAAAAAAAAGGTAGAAGGGTCGAAGAATGCGTGAGTAATGCAAAAGGGAGGAGGATTGGGAGATTATTGGTTTTTGTCTTTCTCTTGCTCTCGGTCTTTGTCTTTGCGGACGATGGGAACTTGAATGGCGTTCTGCATCTTCCAAGTCAGAGGCCGCGGTACACCACGCCATTCCTTATCCAAGATAGACGCCGCATCCAGCATAATCGAGGAAGGATGTTGGGGGACATAGCGGGTTGCACCAAGGATGAGGTCCCGCTTAATGAGGGCATTGGCAAGGCGGATTTGGAGATCACGCTTTTCACCCCTCGGCTTCCATCCGATGAGATAGAGAATAGGATTGTGACGGAACTCAGAGGGGATATCGTCTAGAATGGAGTCTGGAAGCCGGTAGCTTTCATGGTGCAAGTCGATACCAATAATGACCTTGCCGGCATCAGAATCCCACAAATCTTTGTCGAGTCTGGTGGGTTTTCCAAAAGACGCATTGCGACATAAGGAAGTCAAGACAGCTTGTTTCATCTTATAGGTCACGGATCGCTTCATGCAGGAATACCGCCATATGACGAGGCAGATGTTGTACTGGCGGTGCCTGAATGCGGCCAAAAACAAATCCTCCCAATTTTGCGAGGTTACCTCGAACAAAGGATGCTCGAAAAACCGGAGGGTATACTGCAAAGCGACGTGGATGTTCGCGCCCAGCGCTTGCACAATATGGCTGAGCGGATAACTGTTAACGGTGAGGTTGTTGTCGATGCAGATTTCCATGAGTTGGTCTATGGAATCGAAATCCTTTAATCGAGCGAGCACACTGAACATCTGGCCAACCACGGACGGACTGAACCAATTAGCGCCCCATGTATTGGTCATGAGGCCAACAAAGGAGCCTATATCTTTTCCACTGTCCAAATGCACTAAAAGCGAATCTTGGATGGTTTCCTGGAGTGCGCTGTGGATGGTGGAAAGGTTGGACATGTGACCACGCTGGATCATATGCTCAATGAGTTGGGCTTTCTCGCTGGGGTCAACTAGGGCGCTGAGCAATGCGAGCCATGTTTCTGGGTTTGGACGCATGTTTAACCGAGGCATCGTCCGCAGGAAATGGCGGAAGACAGCCACGTCCTGACGCCGCGCAGCAGCCCGCAGGAGGATGTTATATGTATCAGTGGTAGCCACATGCTCTGTGCATGAACACAAGACCCGCGCAGTTTCAAGGAACTCGTGTCGACAAAGGAATTCCAGTGCATTATTTAAGGCCGCGGTCGAGATGTAATTGGAGTATGATTCTTCCATGAATAACGCCTTCAGATGTAGTTTAACCCGGACCACGTGCGGAAGCTTTGATAGAGACATGGCCTTCTCATCGAGCGTCGGCTGCCTCGCAGATGTGACATCCTCGACGTGCTCGTTGAACTCCTTCACGGTCGCGATAAGTGGACGAGGTAGTAGGATCTCATCTAAATTCGAGCTGCTATCGGACGATTCACCGAAATGCCAATTTCCACGAATCAATGGTACAGGCAGTTTCGAACGCTGCATCGCGCCCCGAGAAATGCACATCGGAACCGGTGGTTTGTGGATATCAACAAGGGGATCCCCCATAGCTTGTAGGCTCTGTGCGCGGGTAAAATGCCCTTCCACCAGCGCCATAATATGGTCCGTGGCACTCAAAACGACTCGACGGAGTAATCCCTTGCTCTGACTTGCAGGTAGAATGTGCACACGACATCCATTATGGAGCGGGATGTACCAAATATTATCTTTCAAGGTATAGCGAGTCACACCAGAAAACAGGGCGAGAGTCTCCTCTGGTACAAGTATCTCCTTCTTGTTCAGACTCTTCTTGGCATTTTTCCGGACATCGCGTTGCACTTGGTCCAGAATCTCCCTAGTATCAAACCAAGCATTGTCGAAGAGCTTTGCTGAACGAGATTGATATTTTTTCTTCATATATTCACGAAACCGCAACTTCTTCCGATCTCGAATCGATGTATTTCGTAAAAATAGTTGTCGGTGCGTAGGAGACGAAGGTTTGGCGTTCAGGGGTTTATTGTGCAGTCGACCTTTCTGTATCCTCTTCGCTCTCGTCAATGCGAAGCCACGTAGTGGTTGTTGAGAAGTGACGTGTTCGGCATCTGCGAGGGAATTGACAGATTGCTTCTGACCCGTGGAGAGCCGACCCCCGCCATTTTCATTCAAACCATCGGTACCAGTTTCCTCGCCTTCGCCTAGTTTGTGATACTCTCCAACTACCGCAGGGGACGATTGCAGGTTTAGATCGTTGGGAGACCGGGAGGAAGACTCAGAGGAGATCCATTGGCGCGAGTGTCGAGAAAACGAAGGAGAGGGGCGGACGGCTGCACGGAATTGGGCACCGGAAGTATGACCTATCTTCACTGGAGCATCAATCGGTCTCAGGGAAGATATCCGTCGACGTTGCAAAGCAGGCGCAGCCCAGCGGGGATAGAGAAACAGAAGAGGTTCATCGGGGCCAGTCGCGACAGTGTCCAAGACGGCAGACAGACGCCTCCTTAGACACGGGCAGCCACGCAAGAGCATAAGGGACGATGCTCTAATGGCACCGGAGACATGAATGGAAAGGAGACAAGAATTGGGCGCGTTGCTGAGGTGTTTTTCGATGGGCCTTTTTGCCCCGAAAATTGCTGGCCGCCGAATGGGTAGGCGGTGGCCGGAGCTTGGCTCTGCCGGGTGAGCTGCTATACTTCGCCATTCTCTCTCTATATTCTTCCCAATAATAATATCTATTTCGCCTATACAGAGTGGGTTTAATACATTAATAAATGTGACCTTCACGGTCAATCTCAGCAGCCTTGGGAATGCCCCTGAAAACCCGCCTCATCGACCTCGCACGCTCCTCCAAGACCGGACGCTTAGCCATTAATGTATCCTGCCTGGCTAATGGAGTCAAGCTTAATAATTCCGTTCCTGACTCTCCATAGCCATCTTTAAAGACATTTGGTCCAGTAATATGATTCTTGCAAGATTCCGCGGCACGAGCGAGATTGTCCTTCTTGCGTTGAACTGCATCGGCGTCTTTATCGGAATCGGAGGGAGTTTCGGACAGCTCACGAATGACATTAGAAAGATATGTTACGAACTGCCAGCGGGAGGTCTGGAATAGGAACATGGGCATTATATCTGGTATCTGGTATCCGCCAAAGTAGAGTTAGCCCGGTCTCAACATACAGATTCGGGAAAATTGTCCGGCTCACCTTGTCGTTCAGATAATAGAGCTCTTCGCCTCCTTGTTCAATAAATTTCTTCAGGGCATCGATCTTCTCTCGATCAATGGAAGCTAATTTCAAAGCATGTATCAAGCTGGGTATATCCCCAATTTCGTCGATATGCGGTTCCTCATCGACCGTCATGCTTGCATGATTCAAGAATCCAGATTCCACCCGGGACAATCCCGCAGTGCTCTGCTCCCGGCCTCTGGCCTTGGACGAATGAATGGTAAAATAGTCCTCAGTAAGCATATGCGATTTCTCAAAGTCCGAGCGATCAAGGATCCGTCGTGCAAGGGCCTTAGTCCGTAGTCTCACCCACCGTCTCCTCCGAACAAACGAATGAAACCATGGCTGCGTACCATGCCACGAAGACGAGGAAAATGAAAAAGAGTACTGCCACCCTTGCTCATCGGTATCACCAGACATGTCAACATACCATGTCTTCCACGTCCATTCCCAGCTCGGATCAGGCAGCTGGGCATTCGTGATATCAACCGGACTGGCTCTGCGGTCCTGAGTCATCCAGGGGCTGGGATCGAGGTTCAAAAGCGAGCTGTGCGAGTAACGTGGGACACCAAAAATGAACCAGCCCCGCTGGTTCTCGTAGAGAACGTCCATTTCAGAACGCGGTCTGGAGTCCTCGCGGCCGTTCGTTTGGTCTCCTGTTCCGTTCACCTGGCCGCTGCTGCTCCCATTATTATTTGAAACTCGCGACGGCACAGATTCAGCTGTTTCGGCATCTCTGCCCCCGCTGCCTTCTCCGGCAGAGCTTGCTGAAATCGAGCCGCCGCGCACTTGGGATGATTCTCGGCTGAGCGAGTCGTTTGTGTCTGGCACGATACCAAGTCTATCAGGTTGCCATTTTGCATACTTCCGCTTTGTGCGCTGGTTTTGGACGGATGCGCGGCTCAGGTGTTTCGTCAGAGTTCCTTGATGATTGGGGGTGGATGTGCGCCGTGTAGATCCTTCGCCGGTGGGTTGCTGTGGGACGGTATTATCCACAAGGGCAATGGAAGACGAGTTCTCCATGGTTTATGTGAGGGTATATAAAGGGATATTCTAGATAGTGTTGACGCAACGCATCCCAATGGCTCTTTGAGCCTTGTAGAACAGAGTATCACTGAGTATGCTGCACTCGCATTATCACAGTGGAAAGAGGGACAGAGTGATATGAGAAGGAAACGTAGAGCTGTAAAGTATCTTAACAAAAGGAATAAACATAAGAGAATAAGAAGAATAGAGAGCGTAAAGGAAATAAAAAAGAAAAAAGAAACCCTTGAAAAGCAAGTCGATGCAACATCGATGACATCGTTTGCGGGGATGAACGCCAAGCCCATTTCTCCCTGCAAATCGCGGCGAACAAAAAAAAAAAACATCAACAAAGCACAATAAGCCCATCATGGCAGCACCACACTATCGAAAAGTCGAGCTCCAATCTCCAGCAGACTTCACCTACCTCTACGCCAACACTATCGCGCTATCGCGCCAGAAACTCGACCTCTACTTCCCCCTACCGCAACTGACGA